AAATTACCAAGGCTCGTTTTTGCATAATTCATTTAATTTCTAATGTGCTGTTTGTTTCTTACTATGGATTCGCTCTTCCGTGCTTAATAAATCGTGTTTATTTTAAAGAATATTCCATCACTTTACAGAGATTTAATATCTGATAAATTGACGTTGTAAAGAAATGAAAAAAAAAAAAAAAAAAAAAAAAAAAAAAAAAAAAAAACAATTCAATTTGCAAGATTAACTTTTTTAGTATAAAAAATGTTTTAGTTTCATTGTACTTTAAATTTATTTAGGTGGTGTATATTTTGGAATCGATTGACCCACTTGTAAACATTTTCATGTACAAAAGATTTTTATGCAGTTTACAAGTATTCGCGTGATGCTTATACAAAAAAAACAAATACATTTAGTTGATGCTTTTATATGTCTACTTTTGTTCGCGTTTGTCTGAGAAGCTCCAATTACTGACTATTTTTAACACAAAGAGTAAAGGGTTCTATAATAATTATAGTGTACTTTCATGATACTTTGTCATTTTATTCTATCGTAATTATTTTTTTTATTTAAATTTAAAAAAAATTTTAAACTTGAATTCGGTCAGAAAATAAATCTTTTTAATTATATCATGTAAACATTTTTGCTAGAATATTTTTATATTTCAGCTTTATTTTGAATATAGTTTACAAGCAAACAAGTGGATTAACAAATATTAAAAATGAAATACAACAAAATTTATTTTCTACGAGATAATTCGACTTTTGAAACTTAAAGCTCAATTAAATATTTAGTTTTTTGTTTAAGTTCAAATACATTTTTTTATTCTTAAAGGATTAACTCCAATTTTGTATGCATAATTTTATTCATGTAGAAAAAAATTATTGTGCATATATTAGAAATTTATATTATAAAAATTACAATATTAAAAAACTAACTTTTCAAAATATACAAACTTATTTTTTACATTAAGTATTCAGCTTATGAGTTTTACTGTAAATTATAAAAAAATTAGAGATAAAATTTATTACTCTAAAGTTCTACAAGATATTTTCATTTCTTTAAAAATTCTCAGTAATTAATAAAAAAAAAATTTACAAAAAATATATAAGAATTATTTATTGCAAAAATTTAATATTAAATGATGGCGATCAATTTGAAAAATCTAGAATTTCAAATTTTAAATAGTAAGAGAAAAGTCAGGTAATATCAATCTTAGAAAATATTTTAATAAATCTTTTATTATTTCCATTGAATTTTTACTCATTTTTAAATAAACAAACAAAATTAAATTTAAAATATTTGCCTTGTTAAAACTAGTTGAACTGAAAATACTTGGTGATATTGAAGATATCCGTAAACAATTTAACCAAGTTATTCAAGAAATAAAAGTTATTAAAAATAATAATTTTTTTTATTCTATTATTTCAATGCTGTTAAACAGTGCTGTAAATGATGGTTGATATTATTTTACATTATTCAACTTCTCTAATTTTTATTTTTTCAAGCTTGTGATCAATAATAAAATCATTAAAAAATATCATAGAAATACTTAATAAATAAAGTTTAATATTATTGACTTTTACATTATTTGTTGTATTTTAAAGAGTTATAGGTACTTTACTCAATTTAATCTATTTTTTTTTAATTAAAAAAAAATTTATGAAAGGATTGACTTAGTAAATTATAGTCAAAAAAACTTCACGTGATTTTTCATATTTAAAATGAGGATGAAAACTTTATTCAGAGTCAGGGAAATCAGGAAATTTGAAAATAAGCTTTCAATCTTCACCTTGTATTAGTTAAAATATGTTGCATGTTATCATGTTAAGTTTTGATTCTGTATGCCGAGATGAATAAGTGTGGAGTTTAGTACGAAGTGTATTGTTGAATAATTACCGAATCAATCAAATTTATTTGTATATGGATGATTTCAATTTATGAGGATGAATAATAGTAGATCTTGTCGTAAATTTGCTATTCACCTGCCGCAATGCGTCTGGAATAGTGCCAGAGCGCAGAAATTTCGCGTCGGCGTTCGTTGGACCAACTCGAGATGTTCATGATCCATTTAGATTTTATGGCCTAAGTCTTAGTTTCGAGATTAGTTTTAGTATTGCTTTTACTTTCACATCCTCCATGTTTATTTATATTTATAAATTATACATTGTATAATACTATTTCTTTCTTCCTCCACACCCGGAACTCAGCTGCAGTTGCTCCAATGACCAGCGGCGTTGATAAAAAAAATAAATAAAAAAAAAACACTTTTATTTACATTTAAAATACTTTTTTTTTTATCTTGAAACCTATTCATATTTTACGAGCGTAGTATCGTGCCAACTTCTCATAAGAGAAGAAAAATAAAAATAAAAATAAAAGAAATTGATGTTTTGCTTTGACCTACAATGAACACGAACAAAACATTTAGTTTCAAAATTTTAATATTTTACTTGTTGTTACTATATATTTTTTTTATGCAATATAATACAAAAGTTAAGAAAAAAGATCCAACTAAAAAATATCAATGAGTTAAAAAATAATGATCGTTAAAATAAATTCCGTGACTTTTTAATATAATATTACATTGTTTTTAAAAGTTTGTGAACGAGTGACTTTCAGAGAATCTATTTCGGTAACGAAAAAAAAAATTTCATGGAGAAAATAGTCGGAGACTATATTTGTGTTAGTTTTATTGTAAAAGATGTCGTGGGATCGGTTTAGCTTCATTTGTAACGATGAAAAATTATATTTTCCTTGAATCGAGAGCGCTAAATACGTGAAAAGCTATTAATTATTTAAGCGCTGGAATAACAACGGTAGTTAAACTGACAAGTAGTCAGTGGTTATTTTCATCAGCCAACATGTTCTGTAGCTCCCCCTCTCTATTTATATATTGTCGTAGAAATGTTAGTATAGAAAATTTATTAGCAAATAAAATAAATTTTATATTTTTTATTTGACGTGGTTGTTTGTAGTTATATTATTTTTCATTCTTTGTACGCTAGCTTTAGTTTATTTACTTTAATAACCAATTGACATACATGACTCGCTGAAATTGCTTACGTTTCAGTGGTTTTTTTTTTTTTTCTATTTAAATGCATTGTAACCGTTTTTGTACTTTCAAGTGCGTAGAATTCATCTATTAATTTATTTATAAAGAATTGTTATACTTTTTGGTTCAAAAGTAATGAAAGAAATTTTTTTTAATGAAAAACTTTAATTATATGTACACTCAATCAATTTTTCATTATTTGAATAATAGTTTTTTTTTTAATAAAGAGAAAAATGAAAGAAAAAAATGGAGCCTCTGAAATTCTAAGTAATTAAAATCGATTTTTTAATAAGTACTCATACGGAGAATGGTTCTTATGAGTGAGAGTTAATTGACATCTGAATGGAAAATAAGATTGCTCGATTGCCAATATTTGAAAATAATTGTTAGATAAAGAAGAGCGGTTGTGAAGTATCGGAATTGATTATTTGATTGGTATCAGAATTCAATAAGATTTGAGGGCTGATAAACTCTTCCGCTTATGAGATTCATTTAAATTGAGACGTCGCACCGAAGATATCGTGACTTTTTTTTTTAAACTGTTTACTGTTATCTGTCGGGTAAATTGATCAGTTTGAATAGAGCTCGTGGTAATAAGAATTTATTCGGGGATTACATTTTATCTTAAAATTCAATCGGCGGTTGGGAAGTTTGCTCGGATTTTTTTGTTGGAAAATTTATTTTATGCTTAAAATAAATTATATTTTATTTTTACTCGGCTTCATTTTATTTATAGAGTCACGGAAGGAGTTACGCGAAATTGCTGAAGTGACAGACTTTGAAACTTGAAGAATCGGGTGTCTTTTCTTGTTAGAAATTATTAAATTAATAATCAAACGTATATTACTCAAACTTATGAAATCTTTTATTCTTTCGACATAGTTATCATCCATATTTATTAAAAACTTTTTTTTTTAATTGCCGTGACTTGGGCTTGAATTCGAGACTGAGAAATTAATTGTAATTTTAGTATTCTGTCACTTTTCCACACTGAGAAAAAAAAATTTTTTGTTCAGAAAAAAATTTCTTGGTTCAAGAATCGTTTAAAATAAATTTTGGTTTTTTTACAAAAGAATATTAATATCTATCATGATAATAAAATATTGGCATTAATTTTGATACATTAACAAACGAATAGGTTCACTTGAATTAAACAAAAAACAATTCAATTTATTCGATCAATTCTTGAGTCAAGAAAATATATTTTTGAAAATTATCAAGAATATATATTCTTGTGACAAGAAAATTTTTTCAGGAGAAGTACTTTTTTTTCTCAGTGCAGCATTGATAACAAACTTTTAAGCATTTATAATGCATTTCTCATAACACAAAAAAAAATTATTTTTACATAAATAAACAATGTTAAACTGTGAGATATTGTTAGAAAAATTTAAGATGTAAGAAATCTCTGTCATTCAATAAGAGGCGCGAAAATTAAAAAAAACTAAAGTAATTTTTAATTTTTTCTAGTAATAAATGTCTTGCAAAAATAAATAAATCATTAATAATAAATGACTTAAAGAAGAAATATTTGTTAAATAAAAAATAATGTTATTTTTTTCTTGAGTCAAGAGAATAAATTCTTGAGCTAAGAAATTATTCTTGGTCTAAGAAAATTTTCTTGAGTCAAGAGAATAAATTCTTGACTCAAGAAAATCATTTTCTTCAAAATGGAATTCTTGGTTCAAGAGTTTGGCTCTTGAGTCAAGTCAATTTTTTTTATTACTATAGTAATAAATGTCTTGCAAAAATAAATAAATTATTAATAATAAAAATGACAAAGAAGAAATATTTGTTAAATAAAAAATAATGTTATTTTTTTCACGCCCATTTCGCAAGAACCCAAGAACTTCCGGCTACACCCATCGTCAATATTTATGATTTATGGTTAATTAAAAAAAAACAATTAGTTGTTAATTAATTAACGTCTCGGATTTAATGATAACGACAATAGCAAAGAACTTACTTCTGGCGACGACTGCTGAAGGCTATTGCTCGAACCATCTTGACTGGAGAGTGCAAGGATGATAAGTGCAAGGACACCAGCGACAATAATTGTCCTGCGGATGCCCGCGAGGACATGTCTGCGTGATGTCATCTTTTCTCGGTGATTATTTTTTCTACGATACTCATATCGAACTGAAACCGAAAAAAATGAATTAAAAATTAAAAAGATAAAATTAAAAACAAAAATATTATTACCATATAACACAATCAACAACAATCGTACTACCGGTCTTGCTTATTTACATAAATTTTGAACACTTATTTATTTGATAAAAATGCTAAGCACATGTTTTATTCATTCGCAATTAATTCGTCGTGACAGTATATCTTATTAAATTACAATTATCAGATAATTAAGTTAAAATTTTCAGTAATTCCAAAATCAACAACAACAACTGCCTTTTCTAAATAATAAAAAAAAATAATTTAGAGTAATTAAATTTTTTTTATTTTTATTCATATTTTTCCTGTCTCAGCTGTTGCATAAGTGCTCCAATTTAAATACTAAACAGTAAATATAAATAAAAAAAAAATCAATATTAATTATTAATTTTTTTACTTTTTAATAAAAAAGCTCTAGACTTTTAATACTACCCATCCAAACACTGAAATTTAAATTTAAAATTTGCATTAGATTTATTGGAAATATAAAAAAACGTGAATATATAATAATCAAATGCATAATTGGGAATTGCGTAACGTAAAGAGAGATCTCTCGGTAATTTACTAGAGAATTACACACACCTCTCTTAATTAATTCCGACTGATAGGCATGTATGCAATTTGCAAAACATATATATATATACTGTTTCTCTACACACACTTTAATTTTGCTAATTAATTCATTATTCATTTCGTGAAATAACAAACAATAAGATAATTCAAATAAAATATAATAATTTATTTATTTGAAAATTATTTATTCGATAATTAAAACTCGATGTCTTGTGTCGCGAAATTATTCAAGTGTCTTTACAGTCAGAGCTTTTATCAATATCAATATCAAATATTTATATTAAATGTCTACCCTTACAGGTTAATATTTAAATATTAAAAAAAATAATTTACTTACTTTCTCCGGTCATACACGGGTCAAATTTAAAATTTCATTTGTCACTTTAAATCTTGGTGCACTTTTTAAAACAAATTTTGAATGTCGGGTTAGTTTTAATTGAACTAGTGTTATATTGAAGAATATTTATAAAATTACATATTACATGTTTAGCGGGTTGTTAAAGTTTAAGTAAATCTTCAAGTTTTGACACACGGTTGGAAAGTAAAATCCAGAAGATAGAATAATAAGAGAGGAGTAATGTACGACTTAATCACGCGGACATCCTCGACAATACTGAATAGTTCACTGTTGGGTTGAGAGTAACTGCGCCAAACACGCGAGTCGAAGTAATGCAGCTAGAGTATAAGTGACATTATATGACAACGAGGATGACGACGACGACGTCGACGCCGGGCGTCTGCCGTGACCACGGCGCTGATTGTCAGAGTAAAGCAAATAGTTTACTACTGTACACTTTTAAACACATTCTACACATCGACAATAAGAGCATCATTGCCACCCGCGTATAATATATGAGTATTATGTGAATGCCTATGTTTGAATATATACATATGTAATATTTTAACTATAAGTATGGGTATGTGAATGTATATGCATTACATTTACGTGGGTATAGATGTGATGTGATGAACATTAATATACACATGCGTATGAGGCACATAAGAAGTCTCTGGGATTGGTTGGTTGTTTCGCGGGTCGATTTACCGCTGGATGTATCTCGCGCAAGCGTAATGTTTTCATTTAGAAAATGATACGACCGGAAAGTGGAAACTGCCGAGTAGAGGTAGAGGATTAAACTCAAGATCTTGGAGGAGAAAATAGAAGTTGGAAAGAAATAATGAAAATAAAAAAATAAACAAATGAATAGTTTGGGAGAATAGGAATTATATGAATGTGAATGTGAATGATAATGATAAAAATGCGCGGATCAAAAGATTATTTTTTTGAGATGAAAGAGCTGGACGGTGAAAAGAAAAGTTCTGAGGGATGTCAAGAATGAAATGTTTTATTTAAATGATAAAGGACAGGGAGGAAGTAAAGTTTTTTTGGAATGATGGGTAATTTAACGGAGAGAATATATTTAGCAAATGATTGATAGAAAATTTTATTAGGTTTTTTATAAAAATTATTACACGGAAAAAAGTAAACTGTAATATTCACTCGGATTCCGGTTAGTTTTTATAGTTTCAAACAGTAAAGCGGACATCGGGGTGGCAAAAATATAAATATTACAGAACTTAATGTAGAAAGTATAAAAGCCACAATTTATAATTTAATATTCAAAATAAGTGATTAGTTTCTGTCACTATAGTAAATAACGACTCTTTCATCTTAAAAAATTACAGTTTCAAACAGTGAAAATTGCCATTTCAATATATAGTCCATATTATGAGAAGAAAGGGAACTTAGATGAAAGAAAAGAGGGTTTCACTCTGGGAGAATTTAACATTTAAAACAGCCAAAATTATACTTTTAAAATATACATTTTACCAGTCTAAGCAAGTCAATAATTACAGTTTGATTTTTAGCGTTGCGTTTAAAATTTACCATTTTACTTTGTAAATATTGACGTTGCTTGTATTTGAAATTTACTAACTTTATTTTATACTTTTTACATATCATAAGATCATTTTTTAGGTACGAAATGATAAATATCAAAGTCTAAATTCTTAATTAATATACTTTAACATTTTAGACATTTACATAGCAAATATTACTGTTTGAAATAGTATTTTCTTCCATGTAAAGAGTAAATTGTAACGTTTAAATTGTAAATATTACAATGTGAATTGTAAAATAACGATTTTACTGTTTGAAATGGTAATTTTTAGCAGTTGATCATTACTTATTATAAATCGACTGTTATTTATTACAGTTTAATTTTTTCCTATATGATTTAAATTAAAGATAACATAATGATTAGCAAAAAACAGATTACTTACCTTTGCAGTGAATTTTTTTGTGGATATTGGATTGGTTTGAAAACTTTGATGATTACTGAAATTTTCAATTAAAAATAATAAATAGAAGTTTTTTTAGAGTACAGATGATTTATATGGAGAAAATTAATATTTTAAGATAGTTCGGAAAATTTAAAAAAAATGATACAAATTAGGAAAATTAGGAGTTTATGAAATTTCAATAAAATTAAAAAAAAAAGAAATCGGGCATCTATATTTGATCTTCAAATAGTGTGATAAATATTGAATTAAAAATCAGTTGAAAATTCTCTCGAAATTTCTTTGTTCAAAAAGATAAAAGAAGAATAATAAAAACCATAAAATAAAACTTTGAATAACATTTCAATAAAAGAATTTAAAATACTTGGTATAAAAATAAAATTATTATATACTATTATGTAAAATATCGTAGAATGCCTATTATGCAAGGGGAATGTCAAGCATTCGGCAATAGTACAGATTCTCTTGGAAATCTAGAGTATGTTTACGATACCGTATGTGCAATGGTAAAGCCGCGATAGAAGATAGCATAAAGCTCTGTTGTACATATATTTAGGTATACAATACTTTGAAGAATCAGGACACAAATAGCAAGGTTCAATGGATCATTGGTAAGCCCCCAACAATCTGAAACGTTTGATCTCTCAAGCGTGATTTTCTTTTGACTGCTACTGGCTGCTCTTGTGCATGCTCAAGTGATGAACGTACCAACGCTGGTTAGTGTTCCTCGCGAAAGCGCCGATCACGCCTAAACATACCATGCTTTTTTTTTATGTATTTATACATACATATTTTCACATAGATGTGACGTTGATGTTGATGCATTGCATACATAAATATAGACAGCTGAGATATTATAAATCAAACCATGTTCTACCGCGAAAGCTTTTTAAATTATAATATTGTGAGTTATAACCACCTGAGTCGAAATATAAAACGTAGACTAAACGGATTAGATAGCAAAAACGTGAGGGCAACGTTTTCAACGTGTCAAAAAAGTAAAATAGATTATCAAAAACTTAAATCATAGACAAAACGTATTTGGTCTCGAAACAAATGTCACACGAATTTTATTCGTATGTGCGTCCCTCTCTGCGCCTAAAGTTGGCAACAGATCCACACTCGGTGTGTCCCATAGTTTTACTATTTTTGGTTAATATTATTAACTTATATGTCATATATATATAGAATTTAAGTATTAATTTTGACCTTATTTCAGAAATTGTATTTAACTGTTTATAATTTTGTTTTATTGCTATTATTGATTATTGGTAAATAGTCGTAGCCCTTGCTCGCATGGGTAATTCCCTAAAGTATTGATTGCGAGCACAGGGATCAGTAATTTTGGCAAACGACTTGAGAGGCCCTCGTGATCGGACACGAGGTCTCGTAGCTTTCAGGAAAATGAAAATCGAGAGACACGCGGCAACCCGCAAAGTGTAAGAGTGTGGATCTGGCACCTTTGATCGAGTTCCCTTTTTTTTGGTGAGTACTCACAAGTTGAGCCATTTTATTAACCACGCACCGTGCTGTCTCCCGGCGAACAGATTAGTATTTGAAGCCGGTATTAATTATTCGAGCCAGCCAGTATTATTTATTTATCTTGTTTTGTCGAGATAACCCGACTGGGGATTTCGGGTATATCTCACTTCAATAATATTTAGATACAATTTCTAATTTATAACCAGCGTCGTCGTAATTTAATAATATACTCAGGATTTATATTAATTATTAATAATTGTACGTGACAAATTTATTATTATTGTTATTTTATATAGTTCACCCGGCAAAGGAATTCGGCTCTGAACTTAGCTTAATTATTTTGTGTTTTGAATAAATAGCTTATTTTTTTATATATATCGCGACTGATTATTAAGAATTTGTTTTTATAAATTACTTTCTCCTTTCTTTCCTGATATTCGTACGCTCGTTATCTATCCCCTTGAATACCTGTGGATCGGCCCTGGAATTAAAGGGTTTGTTGTTTCCCAAGCGAAAGAACAACTGGCGTCCAAGAAAATCGTGCACTAACCCAGCCTGAGGAAGAGCTGCTGGTTGCTTGGGAGGCGAAGAGTTCCCTCCCAAGTCCATTTTTTGTTTGTTTAGTTTTGTATTGGGCGACCTGGACAATATTACGTCTCCACTGACCGCTCCACTGTCAGCTGGAGCGTAATTTTTGTTACACAAACATAGATACATAGAAAAAATTAAACTATAATTAATAATTATTAATTGATAGTAAATACTATTTCAAACAATAAAATCGTAATTTTAACAGTTTATTTATGATGTTTATTATTCAAATGTTACAATTCAATAATCATATAGAATGAAATACCATTTCAAATGGTTATAAAAGCTATGTAAATATCGAAAAAGATAAAGTATAATAAATTAATAAGTGATAATTCCAACTTCAATGTTTATCATTTTGCACATAAGAAGTAATAATTTTATATTTTAATGTAGCCAACGTTAACATTTACAAGATAAAATAGTAAATTTTAAACGCAACGATAAAAATGATACTATATAATTATTGACTTGGCGCTTTTTACTGTTTTACTGTTTGAAACGATAATCTGTAAAGAGCGTTAAAGAGTGAGAGTTGTTGTTATTTACTATAATAACCGCTACAAATCACTTTTTTTCAATACAAAATTATAAATTTTGGGTTTTACACCATGAAAAATATTTATTTATTAATTTATTTGTTATATGACATCAGATTTCTAACCTAAACTTGTATACTCCCCAAGTTCTTTGAACTATTCAGTATAAGACGATGATTAAATTGTTCAACTTCCCTTTTGAAATTCGAACATATCCTGAATGTTTTAAGCGGTTGACCGTATGAGATCTTCGACTAGGCTCAACGCCAAAGTTCATCAGACTTCCATGCTCGCTAAGATCTTTAAAAAATTTTACAGCAGTGATTAGCAAATTTTTTGCATTTAACAATAAAAATGTTTTTCAAGGTGAATTTTGAACTATTTATCCGATTATTTTTAAAACCTAATCGGCTTGAAACCATGAAAGACAAACCGAATGTCACACAGCGCATCAGAGTTGATTAATTCTCTTTACAAATTCTCTTTTGATTTACGTAGTAGATTTAATTTGTAACGTTGCATTGGAGAAAAAGAGACAAATGATTGTTGATAGTTTTTTATTAATTTATTACTATGGCATATGCTCTATACTTTCAATTATTTAAAATATTCAATATTTTATTTCCTTTCATTACCTAAATTTTTATTGAAATCTGAACAGTACTTTTTGAGAAATAAAACAAAAACTATGATTTCTTATAAAGTTCATTTAAGGTAGTACTACCGGTTTTAGAATTGACGTTCAGAATTTAATGAAATTTGGCATATTGGTACTTTATAATATCATAATTAAGCAGTAAAATTTTTGGAACCTGAGCAAGTCCTGAAAAAAAGATATTAATATCTACATATTTTTGCTTTTACCATTGATCCTTATGGAGAATCACAGACTTTATTTTATTTCACAAAACTGGACGTTCAGATTCTTATAAAAATTAAGACAACGAGAGAAAATAACATCTAGAACATATTTCATAACAATCGAGTATGGTTTCCAAGAATATGAGAATATTTGTTAATAAAAAACATTCAAATATTAAAAAAAAATCTTTAATATTAAATACTTTATTTTGGTACTCTGTAGCTCTTTGATGTTTTGAGTTGTTTATTACGTTATTAAAATTTAACAATATGTCAAATTTCATGATCCATCTAGGATCTCGGTTGATGAGGCTCTTAGATGTATCACGGCAAAAAAAAGTTAATGACCTTCGCAATTTTTCAATGGCTTTGGTCAACTCAGTCGTTTTTGAACGTGAAATAACTCCATCAGGAACCCGAAAAATTCATCAATTTAGGCTGCAAAATTTTTTCTAAATGTCTTTTCTAAATTCGAAAGGGTGCACGGAGAAAAATTAATTATACTACTTACTATACAAAAATAGTAACTCCTACTATATCTAAAATGGTAATAAAATTAATTAGTAACAAAATAATAGGTGGTATCATTGACAATTGTAATAGTTACTATTAATAATGGTAACGATTACTATCAAAAATAATAATTGTAATTATTATAAATTATAACTGTTACAATCGAAGATGGTAACTGTAACCATCTCAGATTGTAAAAATTCTGAAAGAAAAAATAATATAAATTAACTTAATTAAATCCTTTATTTACATCCATATTTTAGCTAATGTACATTTTTTTTTGAAATATTAAAATATTTTAAATTCCCTTTAAAATTTTTTTTTGAAAATTTGATTTTTTTGAAGATTAAAAATTTTTTTTTTGAAACTTTAATTTTTCTTTTTAATTTGAATTTTATTGAAAATTTTGATTTTTTTTTTAAATTTCAAATTTTTTTTCAAAAATTTGACGTTGAAACTTGTTTTAAACAAATAAAAATTTAAATATAATTTCAATCCGAATTTAATCCCGATTTTTTGTGCCCTACAGCTGCTTTTAGTTTATTCAGAAATGCATCCACGGTAACGCAGATTCTTAAATTTTTTAATATTTTTTACTAGCTTAGATAGTAGTTATTATATTATTACTGATGGTAACTATAACCATAAGGTTATATTAAGAATTACGATTTTGATAATAGTAGTAACTAATTAAAATAATAACAGTTATTATTACTGATTACCATCATAATAGTAGTAGTTACCATCAGGATGATAAATACTACAATTCAGATGGTTTACTTAATTATTTAAATAATATTTACTACTATCGAATTCAGTTAATAGATTTTAACATAACTAGATAATAAACTCTATACTATAAAATTTTCTCCGTGTGGATAATTTTGACCCTCAGTAGAGTTGAGAAACTGGAATTTTCGGTAGTGAACCCATCTTGGGAACCTCAACTAGGCTGAAAGTCAAACATAACCAAATTTCCTCGATAAGCTCTTTAATACAATTGGTGACAATAATTCATCAACTTCTTGCGTTCCTGAGGCTATTTCGCATAAATTCTTTAATGGATTGTTCAGTTTCTCTGAAAAATTTTAAGATCTCTAGATATTTTCGGTGGTGTATATTTTAGGAGCCTTAATCCGATTCCGTTCGGATTAAGGTCTAAAACTTTTGATGTTTAGCCTTTTAGTCTCTTTGAGGATCAATTGGATCTCCCTTTACTAATTCATCACAGTATTATTTCGTGTGAGCCTCTCATTTTTAGAAGCCACTTGTTATTTTTTTTTAATTTAATATTGATACGTTTCATTTACGATTCCGGTTCATGACAATCTATTTTTCATTTTCAATACTTTGAAACCGCTTGACTCACTTTTTCAACTTCTAATACCTTCAATTAACGTTTTTAACGGTTAATGCATCTAATTCATATTCTACATCTTAATATGGGAAGGCTCGCTTTTCTTTTTAATGTACGGGTGCAGCGAAAGACGATACTGTTATTACGTAATCCCGAATAGTTTTATCGATAATCCAACGAGTGTGTTTTGTGAGAGCGATGTTTGTATTGGCTATTACCATGATTTATGTAGAGCTTTGTATCTCTAAGCGGTGTATATGTTGTAACACAAAGCCCCCAGCAATGGAAATGCTATTAAGCTATTGGATCTATCGATTTATGATTTGTTTCGGATATTATTTATGTGTATTGCCTAATATATCGTGTATGTAATGTATTTGAATTTATATTTTCCCTCTTCTCTAAGCGTAATCCTCACTACTATGAAAAAACCAAAGAATTTCAATCGTGTTCTGTTAAATAATTGATGTTTTATTTCTATCATAAAATTATATAATTTATACATGATTTGGTTTGTTGTTAATAACCAAAAATACTCTGATTTCACGGTCTGGATATCCATTTTTTGATTTCGTTATAGAAAATTAAAGACGGTTTTATTGATCATGTAATGTGTTTAGGTTATAATTATGAGTTGTGATTAATTATTGTGAGGGAGAACTTAGCTATGTATTTTTTTATATAGTATGGTTTTAATTGAGTTATTATTTTATTTTTATAATCATAATTGAGTCATAAAATTTTAGAAATAAAAATTCTGAAACATCAATAATTTAAAATTGGGAAAAAGGTTGATGTAAACTTTGACTAAATGCAATTAAAATTAAAGGAATAATTGTAGAGTAAAAAGTGATTTTTTGTTTAAATACATTTTATTTTAGAGCAAAAAAAAAACATATAGTCTAAAAGTTCAAAAATTAAAAGAAAAAACTTGACATAATAATATAACATAATAGTTTAGAAAATTATTGGTTAGTTGCACCAGGTAGACTTTGAAGATTGCCTGACATTTGAAATTATATATTTTTGATTTATCTTATTGTTAATTTGTAACAGAGACGTGAAAAAAATTTTAAGTTTTGAATATTCAAAAATTTTAGAGGAGATTTTAATGATACGACGAAAAATATCTAATATAAAATTCAATTTTAATATAAAAAATTATTATTTGTTACTTAAATAAGTACTGTCAAATACTACTTAATTAATGAGTACTAATTGAAAAAAAATATTGTCTGTAAACTTTTAAATTTAAATTATGATAATGAAATGGTAAGAAGACTTATTTGTCAGAAATTTAATCTTCTATGAAAAGAATATGTTTTATTTTATTGTATCTATCGTTTTTCAGACAGATTATAAATTTAAACTTATTCAAAAAAAATTTTAAACCATAACTTTTATAAAATTTTGAATCCTATATTTATAATAGTGAAAATTAAGTAAGAAAAAAAAATAAATTTAGCTCGCAATAGTTTTCTTCTTAAGGGCCAGTTTTTCAACCCCGGGTTTAGGTATTTTATCATTGTGAATATATCTATTTATAATATAGATAAGGTAAAGTACCCAGTAGTTGAACAGGTTTCAAAGTAAAACGTATTTGACTCTACTTTTAATATATAAATATGTTTGAATTGAAAATATAAACAATTTTGAATTGATTGAAGCGCAAAATAACAAAAATAATTGAATATTTATAATTTGACAACGTTTTTAAAATAGACTATGAAAGGAGTAGTAGTTGAACAATCAATTCTGACAAGCCGCAGTAGTTGAACACTCCGGGAGCAGTAGTTGAACTAATAAAATATATGGCAATAGACACACCAAAATTTTTTAACGTTTAATTGAAATATTCAAACATTTATTATATATTATTGAATAATATTAAAAATAACACTGTGAATATTTAATATGTTCATTTAAAAATGAGAAATATTTGTATTTAATTTATTACATTTTTTATGAATGACAAAGTAAATTTTCAATTATAAATCAAAAAAACTCAATTCAAAACATTCAATAGTTTTTAACTATACTAATTTTTAGTTATAAAACTTATTTATAGTTAATGTCTTTGCAAAAAATATGTATTATTTAGAAAAGACTATTTCATTGGGTGGTACAATTTTTTTCACTTAAAATCATGATATACCGTTTTTTCGATTGATTATTCGGTTTACGGTTTAGTATCTTTTTCATGAAAAAAATAGTATCTATCGGCGATTCTTGACATGTCAACTTTAAAGTTAACAAAAATGTAATTGTTTTGATTTATAATTGAAAAAACTTACCAAAATCAATTACTGTATCACTGAATAATTATAAAATGTGCATATGACTCATAATAATATATACAGATTTTGTATTACAGCAACTCTAAAAGTCTGTTCAACTACTGGTCCCATTTTTAGAAGTGTTCAAGTACTGGGTACTTTACCTTATATATATATATATAGATATATTCACAATGATAAAATATTTAAACTCGGGGTTGAAAAACTGGCCTTAAGTATTATGTTAATTATGAAAAGAGATGAAGGAATAAATGACAAATTAATTCGTGTTTCTTTTATATTTACATTTGAGACATTAAAAACAATTTTCGAGCAATTTAAACTAAGCCGTGAGTTCTTCGGGATTTCCAAACGCTCTAGAAAGCGGATGCTGACATCAAAATTTATTTTTGTCCGCGCTACAGTTTAAATTGTCCGAATTTTTTTATGCATGTTTACTTCTGGGTGTTTTTTTATTTTTTTATTACCCAAATATTTTGTTTATTTATAGGTACTATTTTATTTGTTTCATCACAGAAAAAATTTTTTTAGTAAAGGAGAACGACGAAAAAGCTTTGTTTACAAAACAGTTTTAATTTTTTTTTTTTATTCGAATAAAATATTCACCGCCTACTGTGTACGGAAAGTCTTATTTTATTTTTTTTATCTATGGCAGATTAAATATGTATATACGCGATCATTATCTTCGATTGTCACGGGTCTTTTTTACGAAGATATTTACTGATAGTTCAAAGTAGAAAAGTTTAATGTGTAAGGTTGTAAAAATAAAATAAATAATTTGTTTAATTGTTTCAGGGAACTCGAAAACCCTCGTTTATTTATAATGATACCGGGAGAGAGTGGGATAAAAGGGGTAACATCATTCTGGGAAATAGTAGACGACTCTCTGTGGAATAGGACGAGTAAATTAAACCCTGAGAGCGACAGAATAACTGCGACGGCTGTGTTAGACTTACCGACTTTTAATGACACTTGTCAGGTTAAAGTTTACGGCACTGTCACTTATAAGATGGATGAAATGGAACTGCAAGCACCTGTTAACTTTCTCAGTCTTACAACAACTCAGGCGATTGACAAATCATTAACACCAAGGTACGCCAAAGATCTTCATCAAAGTGTAGTTGCTATGAAAGCTGCCGCTATTGAGAAAGTAATAGCGGTTCCGCTGCATGCAGATGGACGGGGTATCAAAATACTCAGCTTCATCGAAAATAAAGATTTCCAAGAAATTTTGAATGATGTTCATGTTTCGAAAAATCCTGAAGTTTTCCGGAACTGTTTGATTGAAGTTTTGTCTGTTGAAAGCGCTGTTACTATGAGGATTTCTGCAAGGTAATTAATATTTTGAATTCTTAATAATCTATTTAATTAAGAGAATGATAAAAAATTTGTCTTCGACAAATTTATATCATTAAATTGATTTTTTTTAGTTAAATCTAGTATAATTGGAAAGGTAGTGAGATTAATTTATGCCTTTTAAAGGTTTCATATGATTTTCAGTGCACTGATAGAAGAATTTATTTGTATTAAAAAATATTTGTTAATAGTAGCATTTAAGAATTATAACTTTGGTTTATATAGAGCCTTTGTATATTATTATATTATATAATATTGTTCATACTCTGTTACTATCTTCAACTACACAGAAAGGAAAATTTCTTGACTGGAGAACAAAATTCTTGGCTCAAGTAAATTTTCGGGTGCCCGAAGAAAGACCTAAGTTGTCTTGGCCGAAGTAAAAATTTTTCTTGAAATTCTATTCTTGGTCGAAGTAATTTTTCTTTATTCAAATTATCATAAATACTTGATACAATAAATTTTTATATTGGATCAAGATTTTTAGATACTTTAGGGAAGCAGCGCCACCTACTTCAGCTGAGAAAAAAATTTTCTCACCTTGAGAAAATTTTTCTCTTGAATATTTGATACTCATTTTAGATTATTTTAGCTCGCAATTATACATATTGAATGAAAGAAAATGGTTCAATATTATTTGATCTTCCAATTTGACATGTTCGTCAATAACAATATTAATGAAAATTTATTATCGAGATATTTAATTTTTTGGAGCAAGAGAAAAATTTTCTCAAAACAAGAAAATTTTCTTGATTTAAATAAATTATCTTGGATAAGAAAATTAATTTTGTTGGGATAAGTGAAATTTCTTGTGTCAAAAAAAATTTTTTTTTTCGCTCAATAAAATAATTAGCAAGAAAAATATTTTCTTGGTTCAAGTGAACTTTTTTTTCTGTCTATGTATTTATTGAATAACCTTGTTATTAGCTCTCTGGGCTGTTGGATTTAAATAAAAGAAATAAATAAATAAATAGTTAATAAATCATTTATCAGAGACTATTTTTTAGTATTAAACAATTATTTCTTAGTATTTAAAATGATTTGTTTGTATTTAATAAATCTGATATTCATTTATTAAATATTAATAAATCTTTTTGAATACCAAGAAATATTTGTTAAGGACTAAAAAGTGGTCTCTAATAAATGAATATTAACAAATATTTTTAACTATAAACAAATCCTTCTATCAGTGTGAATTTCAAGCTAGATAAAATTTGATATTAATCCATATAATTAAGCAAATAAGGAAAATTTTGTGATGGGCATATAAATGGATTTCTATTGTGAAATTTGGTACCATCAGAAAGGCTCTATCATTTAAATAATTAAGAGAATAAAGAAAATTCAGTGACTGGCATATTTATTTTATAAAAGAGATTTTTATAGTTAAATACTGTACCATCAGAAATGTTTTGACTTAAATTTGTGCCTTTTCACCATTTCACATATTTTTTGGTGATGGTCAATTTTTTATATAAAGTTTTGGAGTAGTTTGTCGGTTCTATAAATCTGTCCCGTGATATTTTACATTAAATTATTGGTAATTAATCCTTTCATGGCTACAATATTGTTTCCATTCATTTCAAAAGTACTCAAAAATTTTTTTTATTTTAGAAAATTTGACAATTTTTTTTCAATTAAATAAGAAAAATATAAAAAAAATCGGCCCTGTCCGGGATGAGCGGGAATATTTGTCAAATTGATCGAAGTTTTATTTAGAAAAAAAATAAAATAAAAAAAAAAGTGACCAACTTTGAAAAAATAACGATTTTGCTCAAAAAAATCGATTATTTTATAGAATTGATCATATTTAATTTTTTTTGTGTATTTTTTCAAAAAGTATTTTTTTTTAAATATCATTAAATATCTCTGAAAATATTGATTTTAGCGACTTGGTGCTTAGGATCTTTTTTTTTGAAATTAAATTTTCTTTGTCCTTCACATTTTTTCTGTAGCTCTTGTCATTGACGAGATAAATGCGAAAAACGCGAATTTCATGGAAAAAATCAAGTTTAGAGACCTGTACTACCACGCCGGTTCGAGTTACGGCTTGGACGCAATTTCTGTGTTTTTTTAATGGGAAATCTTTACACGCCTTGGTCGAGGACTTAATATTAATATTAAGGGCCCAAACTTTCAGGGAATTTGATTCAATTTGACAATTTGATTAAATTTTTTTTTATTGAAAAAAATATTGGAACATTTAAAAACCACGAAAATTCCAAAATAGTCGTATATTGATGGACACATTGATAATAACAGGCATGATAAGTTGTGTACATGTCAAGTATTTGATACGAAAAAAAATATCAAAAAATTGATTGATCCTGCGGGCTAGCCCCGGAACTTCTTTCTAATACAAAAAAAAGTATTTAGATTATAAACCTTCGACCGCAGTTTGAATTTGTTTTCTTATTCCAGAAATATTGAAGTGAAGCGGCGTAATCAATTCCATCAAAAATATATTTAATAATCAATATCGGTTAATGGAACGACGCAATATCGTTTATATATATTCTGCGTTCCGAGTTTGTAAAAACAAACAACTAACATGAGTCTCGGGAGATGAGAAAACAGTAGAATAATTTGTTGACAAGATTTATAGTTCACTTCAGAAAGTCAAATGTTGCCGGGGAATCTTTAAAATTCAAAGTTACTTAAACAATCGAAAATTATTTTTATTTCTGCAGTTATAGTCGAAATTTCATTTTTTCAAGTTATTAATTATTGCCGATCAACAATTGATGTTATTTTTAGGTAAAACAATATTATAAAAGTTGTTAAATACTATCTTGTCAAGGGAATAACTAATGTTAAGATAACATTTGAGAGCTTGAGGAAGGTTTTCAACTACAAAAAATGAAACTTTGCAGTGAAATATTTGCTGACTAGAAAAAAAATCTTGTAAGGTAGTTGCGAACTGACAAAGAGAATTTTTGTTTTAAAGAACTCACTATTGACTGTATTTCAATATTTAATCGTAAGAAATTTTCAAACAAAACAAAAACAATCATTATAAATCACGAATGATTATTTGTATCTCTCTATTTTGATAACAAGACAAACTCTGAATGAGGTACGAAGCTCGTTATATATTTACTGTAAAATAAAATTTTAATTGGTCCTCAGGTCGACGGCACAACTGAATATTTTAATTCACATGCTCCAAGCGGAATTTCCGGATGCCATTGAGACAGGAAAACAGGATAAAATCACCGACGCAGTGATTGCACTAGAAAACGAAATAAAATTGAAACTTGGGTGTGATGAACCCACCAATCTACTTAAGGCCAAAGTCGTCACTGACTTATTAGTCCCTTAATTACATAATAATAATTATTATTTAATTTTTAATTTTACAAAATAAATTAAATTTTTTTATCATAATAATATATAATAAATAAAAATATGTATAATATATTATAATAAAAAAAGATTGTTAAATTTCAGATAATAAATTGCAAACATTTTTATATCTCTTTTCAAGCAAAACTTTAAAAAAATCTTAAAGTTAAAAATAACAACCACAGTGTATATCTTTCAAATTATTTATTTTGTCAAACTATATAAAGCTTTTTATAATAGATGTTTTTTTTTTTTTTGTTGCGAATGAGTAAGTGAGAGAGTGAGTGTTTGAGTACAGAACTCGCTGAGCACTTTTGATAAAAAATATCATCATTATGACCGTTATTACATTTCATTGTCGTTATACATTTTTTTTATTATTCTGCTCAATCTAGTTCTTTAATTATTAATATCTCACATTACATAATCACTTTTTTTTCTTTTTATCTTTATCATTAATCATTACATTAATATATATATGTTTATATATATATTTATGTTCATTTTTTTATTTATATATATTTTTTTTTCGAGTGAGCCACTGGCTCTAAAATCTAAACATACTTTGTAATAAACACCGCGTTTTAATTAATATAACAGTAATATAACGCGCTTTATGATCAATTCCAATGTAAAAACATTTTTCAGTAACCCAACGGAATTATTCAGTAATAAATAATTATACAACTTATTATTTTCAATTTATAAATTATTATCAATAATAATTAATTAATTTAATTAATAACTAATATTTGATAAACATATTAAATACATCAACAATTTAAATATATTTCACTAGTTATAATGATGATAATTATATCTCACAGAGACTTTTTAGGCAAGATAACTCAACGACAGTTTATTTTGTTTCTTTTAAATGACATTAAAAAGAGGTAGATGAGTAACGATGACAGGATTATGTTTTTATTTTTATTTTATTATTTTTATCATTTTATGCTCATGAGACAATAATACTAACACTCGGCCGTTATCTTTAATGTAACAATGTTTTATATTATTTAAAATCTCCCTGGTGTCAGACACCGAATCGTTTAGGGTTTAGCTTAGTCATTGAAATAAAATTATAACTTCTTTAAACATTATTATAATTATAATTATTTTAAAACCAAAGAATGAGATGTGTACGACCGAGAAAAATTAACGGGAATGATAATTTTTTATTCATTAATGATAGATCTATTTTTAATTCATTAGTTATTTATTTATTTATTTACTCCTTAGTTTTTGTTGGTAAATTTACTTATTAATTTAATTTTAAATGCGCATAAACACATGACGATTCGGTGGAGTGCAAAACATTTACGCGCACCCTTCGTATTACTTTTATACACTCTAGATATATTCATAACTTAATGGCTCAGTCTATCTAGAATCGCGAATATCACTAATTCATATAACAGTAGTATGGCAAGTTTATTTTCCTCTGAGTTTCGTCAACGTGCATTTTACAGTCCCACTCTTTAATTCCCTCTAAATTTATTTATTGTTTATTATCAATATATATTTTATTTTATTAAAATTGTTTATTGATTTTCTCTTGCACTCATATAACCGCCTGTACATAAATAATCGTTAGGCCATTATCCGAACAACTTATTTTCTATTTCAATTATTTAGCACAATCTTTAACAATCTTTAATTGTTTTTATTTATTTATTCCTTTATTTTAAATTCACTTTTTGTTGTTTAAATATAATTCACGTCATCAGTAATAACATACGATTTAAATAAAGCGTTACTAATTTATAATAATTCAATTCATTACATTACATTAATTTATATTCTCTGCAATTATATCTCGCCACACATTCGTTATACCCATTTTATTATCGTCGTTGAAACACTTTTTTTTTCTTTCTAATTTTTGTTATCAATGGCTGTTTTTTTTTTTTTTTTTTTTTTCATCGGCGGCTAGATTTTAGTGTAAGTGTGAGTGTGTATGTGTTGGTTTTTGTGTGTGCTTTATTAAGCTCAAGCGATTGCAATTTTTTCACAGTAATGCACAAAAAATACTTTTCATTTCCATTTATTATTAATTTTAATTTTTTTTGTTTTTAAATTACTTCTTCGGGTGACAGATTATTGATACTGATATGGAATAATTACTCAAATCGGAAGTATAATTTAAATAACAATAATAAGGTGGCAGTTCTCCAGCATTCGAGATGCTTTTTACGTAGAAAAATAAGTCGTAGAAAATACATAGGAAATCTCTTCGTACAAAGCACAGGCAAACTTCGAAAGCTGGTGAGCTGCTTTTATCTATACATTATTATAATTTATCATATTCATAAGATAATATAATAAGGAAGCTACATATTTATATTTTTCGTTTTTCATCATTAGTTCCAGAAAATTATTTCACTATCTCTGATCACCCTGTTATTCATACCAAGTCAACACATTTTCCTTTTTTTTTTTCTTAATTGACAATTTCAATTATAAATTTTCAAACTGAAATAAATAAAAATAAGAACATTTTATTCAATTTCACAATTATAAGCCATTAATTATTTAAACTTGGCGCCTTATGTGTTTTCTATCACATACACACCTCACTTGAAGTAATTTGACGCCGGTGCATGAGAGTACAGCGTTCTTTCTAGTTTTTACTTTACATAATTTTTTTTTTTTTTTTTTTTTTAATTATTACTCTTTTAGTTTATATTTTATCATTGCATTACCGATTGCTACCACTAATTATTATTGTTATTATTATTATTATTATTAATATTATTATTATATATAAGTGTAATATTTACGGCGAATTGGAGCGGCATACCGCAAATTTTATACTCGTTTTTTTAAATTATTAATTAATTTTTTAATTTATTTGTCAACCCTATTTATATACAAGATTTTTATAACCTGTGCGCTTATGTGTATTTAAAGATTACAGCTATTCAATTAATAAGTAACGCGCAATCACTAAAGTGTAAGAAAAAAATTTATATCTTCATACAAGTATAATATATATATAAATGTTTCGATTGTTTTGGTTTATTTTGTTTGTTACATGAAATAATTAATAATTATTTTTCTCTAAAAGGAATCACGCTTATTATCATTTATTTATAAACAATTGAACATTAATTTAATTAGTAAATTAATCAATTGATTAATATTATTTTTTTATAATTAGTATAAGCAATAATTGTGCGCGATGTACACAAATGCGCACAGGTATTATTTATTTTTAAAGATTTTTTTTTCTATTTTTATTATCATTTATTTTGTTAATTATTCAGATATATAAATTACAGCGGTTAGAAAATGATCGTTTCTTCTTCGTAAGGCTAGAGTCCTTCAACTATGTGGTTAGTTGCTTAATTATATCCTTTGATACTTTAACTTTAAAGTTACAATTCTTATTTTATTTATTAGTTTTTATATTTTTTCATCGATTTCTGTAGTCACATTTATCCCGTCCTTTTGTTACATTTTTTAAAAATTTTTTTCTTTTTCTCTCTAAGAGTTTCATATATCATTCACCAGAATACAGTTAATTGGAATAATCAATTTTTTTTTTAATAACAAAAGGGAAACGAATGAAATTAAAGTTTTTTTTTTTAAACTGTGATATGCGATTAGGTATCGACACTTGATATTCCACGCATTGTTTTTTAGTCGTTAATTATCACACCCCCGATTATTTTCGTTCGGCTTATAACTTTTTTTTTTTTTCATTCTAAAACCCGTCATATTTTTATAGTGAACTTTTAAATTGACTATTCATAAATTTTCTATTACAAATAAAAAAAAAACTTGTCTTTTTTATTTTTTAATCAAGTAATTTAATTAAATCTAAAAAAAAAACGGAAAAATTTTTGACATGTATTAAAAAAACAATTTTAGTAAAAAAAAACAAAAATTTAACAAAGAGGGAAGAAATAAAATATTACACTAACTGGACGGGTGGGATCGAATATTACATACTGGCATTAGTCATTCCAAGACTTTTTAACCCTCTAACAGTAAAATTTACTAATTAGTTAAATAACTGACCAATCAATTAGCTTACAACCTTCGGATGAATAAATATAGTTATAATTTATAATTAATAATTAAATATTTCTCACTTGGTTAAATCACCTGATCATTGATCCACGATAATTTAATAATTATCGATGCCATTAACTCTAAAGGATTCACAGATTTAGTTAGATACTTCAACCTTTGTTTTATGTACAACCCATATTAATTTTTGTACAATTTACATTTAATCTGTTAATGCATCAATGCTTTAATTATATACTTTTATTAATTATTAACTCGCTAGATGATATATTTATAGGAATTCACGTTATTATTTATTTTATTTTATATTAATACAGTCGCTAAGGCATTTTTAAAATGGCAAGTATGCATTTAATTGTGCACTATCAAGGGGTTTACGTTGCCTAAAATAAAAGAATCATATTTGTTATTTATATAGTATTTTTTAATTAAAAATGTTTTTGTACTTTTTCCTAATTCGACTTCATGGAAATTATGAGTTATTTTTAATTATGTCAAAAAAATGCAATACCAAAAGAAAGTTTGTACCAAGAGCTGGTAATTTACGAAGTATGAAGCTTCAACAATCTTTAACAATCTTGTCTTTAATACATTCTTTTCATTTTATTACATAAATTTCTTCATTATTTTTTAAAATAATTTTAAATGAAATTATTAAATATTCAATAATTAATTTAACGAAACATTATCATCATAGAATTATTATTAAAAAAGTTTTCCATGTAAATTTGATGTAAATTAATAAAAACTTGAAATATTTTATTTTTTTATAATTTTTAATATGTAATTCAAACTAGGTATTTGTTTGAATAATTATATTCTAATAATTTTATAAATGTTAACATTTTCTTACAATAATGCCGTTCGATAATTCGGGGGTGCATATTCAATAACACTCATGTTAAATACTTTATCTCAAATAACAAAAGATCTTCAAAATAAAATCAAGTAAGATTTTTAGTTATTTTGAATTTTTTATATAATCTTAATCATTAAACACTTTAAGAGTGTCATCAGGGGGGGATTGGATCATTATGCCTGCATTTGGTATCTGACGTCACCACAGCAGGCATTCGTATAAAATTGACGCTGAGTGATATAGTAGATTTGTTTTTATTGTAATTTATATATTTATAATTTTTTTTTTTCGATTCATCATTCTCTGCTATTACTTTTTTTTTGTTCATGTTATTTATTTAAAGATTATTATTATTATAATTATTATACAAGGCGCGTTATCGCGAATTTTTTTATTTTATTTAGGGTAGAATATAAAAATAGCTCTTACATGGTGTGATCGTGCGCCCGGCTGGATTTCCATGGATTTTAAATGACCGAAATATTCTTTTAAATAAATTATTATTTGCTAATTAATCAAACGTTAATTCTTATTCTCTACTGTGAAATTTATGGTACCAAAAAAAATTTTTCTCGATTTATTTTTATAATTTTTTTTCCTGTTTGTTATTACAATAAAATAAATTTTTTTTTAATGAAAAACAATTCTTTAACTTCAAAATTTTTTTCTCAAAAGATTAATAAATTTTTTAGAATCAAATTATACAAACTTGTTTTAAAAAATTAACGTTTGTAATTAAATTTAATAATATTAAAAACCTAACAATTGATCTCATTAAAATTTTAAAAATAAGCACCTTCTTACGAGCGTAATTGATGTACATTATATTTATTAATCTCACAGCATGTCAATTAAAAAATAATCAATATATATATATATATATATATTTAATTACTCCCATTAATAACACCCATGATATTATTTCAATTATTAAATGTATCATATTCATAATAATTAACAATATTTCATACAATAAATTTAATAATCCCAATAATAAAAATAATCGTAACATCAATAATTAATAATGAATAATTAATAAATTGTAATAATATTCGTCTAATAATTCAATAGAGTCTACATGTTGCTGACTAATAAAAGCCAATACAATGTATATCACGAATTAATTAATGATAACCGTGCAACATAATTCGCTAATATATTATTTAATTATCAATATTATTTATCTATCCGTATAATTAATAAAAAACATTACTATTTATTCGGTCTCTGTCAATATCTCGCTGTTTTATTTCACTTATTTAGTTTTACTTTAATAATCCATTTATGCATACGTATGTCTTATGTTCATGTCGTATGTGTAATGTGTAATTAGTGTACGCGAATTATTAATTTTTGTGCGAATCTGAAAATTCTATTTTAAATAAATTACACGTGTTCACAGATTATATTCCTACTCACTTTTTTGTTTATTTATTTACATATATGCATAGGTACTTAATCTAGAGATCGACCGAATCTCATTTTTCTCATTGACTTGTTCCTAATTTATCATTATCATTAATATTACAGTAATTAATAATATTCAATATATTAGGCATTAACAAAAATCAATTAATAATAAACGAGTTAATTATAAATACACATAATGTCGCTTGCAATTCTGTCTAGGCACTGTCTACACATTTAAAAATATATTTAAACAATACACTAATCAAATAATAATATTTATATTAATAATGATAATAATAATAATAATAATAATAATAATAATAATAATAATAATAATAATAATAATAATAATAATTAATCATAACAGTAATAAATAAATGATAATCGCAAAGTTAGAAAATTTTTAGCGACATTATAAACATTGTGGCTTTATTTACATAGTTAGATTTTATCAATATGTCTCTATAATTGCCTAATAATGCGATAGTGATAATCGTAATCTATTATTATAACAGTCACTATATAGTATTAATTTATTTAATATTTTTTTATTATTTATTCTGCACTATTTGTACTTGATTATAGTACACTGCATTATTTGTTTTAATCTAGTAAAAAGATATCATTATATTTATTATTTATTTTCCTTTGTCACTTAGTCGCACGTATCAATAATATTTTCATAATTATTCTTTTTTTTTATACTATTATTAATTACTAATATACTTTTCTTCATTATGTATTATCAATTGTAATCATTAACCCAAAGAACTCTTAACAACATAACATAGTTCTTGGGCCATCATCACTTACTGTGTCATTATTATTATCATTATGATTAATATTTCGTTAATAGTCAATAGTCTGTTCTCAGAAGTCACACGATAATTCCACATATTTAATTATTTATATATAATTATAAACCTTTTAAAAATATGGTTTATCATTGAAATATAAATAATTAGAACTAAAATGAAATGAAGCTCACGAGAAGTTGTCACTTGAAATAGCATTGTTTCTTCTTCTTCTTCTTCTTCATTATTACAGATGATATTATCTGTTATCCTTGTCTGGGTGAGAGTGATGAGCGCTTTTGAGGTAACTTCAATTGGCACGACATCCGGTGTAATTACGTCGATGAAATGTATCAAAGTAAAAATAAAGCTTTAGTGGGAAGTTTAGACTGGGCTAGAATGAAAGGTAGGTTGGATAGGATAACGAAAAAGGATACAAGAGGAAATATTTAATGAGTTTGCGTGAGCGACAGAGAAAGTCACTGAGAGAAGGACAGGTAACTTGATGTAGAGAGCATAATTTCGCCAGAGCTTGAGATTACATGATTCTTCCACAGTGGAAATCTCGGAGATTATTCTGAGAATCGGAGTAGTTGTGCAGCAGCTTGAGCACTTTGGCTCACAGCAGCAGCATCAGTACCGCTCCGTATGCTAGTAAGACGAGTGTCGTCATTGATACGAGTCCTTGTGAAATGTATCACTTTTGTGGAAGATTCTACGGTCTTCACGTTGTAAATCTTGACTTGCAAAATTATTTTCCGATTTTGGCCTTGGTAGTAGGCTCGTTGGAAGTGTTCTCATTTCTAAGCTATGAACCTGAAATTTTAATATTTTATGTTATTAATCATTTATATTAACCTCTGCTCGGGGATAATGCAGCTGGGTACATTACATATTCATTATTTTAATAATAAATATCCCTATTATATTGAAAATTTCTATAATCTGAATCTCTGGGAATAGACTTTAATATTTAATTAATGCAGTAGCATTGCTTGTTTGAGGAAAATTTTATGGCTTAAGAAATATTTTTAAATTTACTAAAGTTTCTATATTAAAATTTGTATTTAACCATTATCTTTAGCTTGCTACTATAATTACTTTAAAACTGCTATCGTTAAAATTATGAACATTTTTCTTCTTTAAAAATTGGAGTAACAATGTTTATTTTTTTTTATCATTCTAAAAATATATTAATTTTTTATTAGATAATTTAAACCCCCTTCAGTTTACTTCATTTTCAATTAGTAGTAATTAGTAATGAACTTCATGTTTTCGATTATTTAAAATAACCAAATATACTGATATTTGTAACTGTATCATACTAAAATTACTAAAATTACAGTTTTGAAGTAATTACTGTATTGCAATGTTATTTAAAAGTTACAAGCTCATTTTAAAAATTTTAACTGTAACATCTTTTTACTTAAAATTTTTTTTTTTTGTATAATTTATTAAAATTATATAATCCTAAAGTTAGCCGACTTTTTCAATTTTTTAATTATTTTTTATTTATTAAATAAAAACTAAAAAATATTTTTAAAAAATTGCACTGATAGTTTTTCAAGTTTTTTACAAGTGAAATTTTTTATTTTCTTCTTTATGTAATAATTTTCCAATAAAAAAATTTCTAAAAATTTTCAGATGTCGGCTAACTTAATTTTCATTAAAATTATTTATTTTACAATTTTGTTGTTCACAAAATTTTTTTTTCGTTTTATTTATTTTTCTATTTTTTCTTTCAATTTTTCAACTTGTATACTAATTGAGATTAGTTTTCTGTTTTCTGTAATGGTTTTTATTGATCAGTCAATTAAAAATTTCTGAGGTTAAATTAAAAAATATAATATTTTTAATTAATTTTTATTTATTAAAAAAATTTGCATGAAAAAAATCAAACTAATTTATTTCAATTCTTAATTCTTGTACTTTTTTTTAATTATTGTACTATTAAAAGTTAATTTTTTATAGAACAATCTAATGATTAAACCAATCACAAGAAAAATTATAGATTAAACGGAAACTGATACTAAAATTGCAGTTTTAAAGTAATTACCATCAAACAACGTTAATTAAAAGTTCCAAATTTATCAAAAAAGTGTAAACTGCTCGTAACTTTTGACTTAAGTACTTGTTAACAAAGCATATTTGTTATAATAGACTAATCGGTAATTTCAGAATAAATTAACCGCAATAAATTTAATAAAACTAATTAAAACTTATAAAATAACTGATATTAAGTTAATATTTCCTAAAAGAATAAAATAAAATAAAAAAAAATTACCGATTCTTCGCTAGCACTTGCATGTGCTGCTTGTTCGGCAAGTGCATTAACGACGGCATTTATCGTTTTGGATTCACTGCCAAGATCCTCTTCACGATGTGCCACCAAGTTTGGATTTTTACCAATTTTGTTCAACCTGCAGAAAAATATACAACAATATTAAGCGTAGGGAATGTTGCAAAGGACACAACCAACGATAATTATCGCAAAACATTTAAAAACCCTTGCAGGAGTAGCTTGACATTATTTCATTCGTAATAAGGCCATTAATTTTGATAGTAAAAATATCTTTTAACAAAAGTTGAATATTTTAATTTAATTAATTAATAATATCCCGTATGCCAAACGCTCCTGATAAAGTATTTGATAATGACGGACCGGTGGATCGATTCAAAATAAATGTTCAAAAAACGCCAACCAACACAAGTTTGCATGATTATTATATACGTGAATAAATATTTCCTTTTTATTTGGTCCTTCTTATTCCCCAGACATTATTACAAGTTTAATTGCTTTATATAGAAAAATTTGCGTGAAAACTTTTCCCATTAAATAAACTTTGATTATAATTATAACTTGGAAATATTCAAACACATATAATGCTCATAAACCGACCGGGCCAAGAGAGATAATTATTAAGATCAAGTAATAATATTTAAATAAAAAAACTACAACAAAGTATCCTCATATTAATATAAATATTGTGTTCTACTATTACTGTTATTATATTATTACTTTAACTATTATTAATTAATATAATACATTTAAATAGATAAAAAGATATACGTTTCTATATAGACATTTATATTAATGTTCACGATAAAATATACATTAAAGTATTGAGCTCTACTACTGGCAGCTGTGGCGAAAGCTTTAGCGCTTAGCGTGATAAACGCAAGCGATCTTTTATGCGCGATTAACATTTTATTGTTGTTTTATTTTACATATATATAATATAAAGATAAAGATAAATGTCAACAGACAAAATCACACTTATGATTCACATTTAAAGAGTGATTCGAGCTTAGTCCCTCTTGGTGTAACCACAAAGACTTCATTATTATTTTTTGTTACACAAAAAATAACAATTATTAGACTTCGTCTTAATTACCCGGCGGCGAACATATATAGCCTCGCGAAACTTTCTTTCTTTTTTATAATAATTATTTTGTAAAAATATTTATTATTGTTTAGATTTACAGACTTTGGTTGAGAAAATTCACGTATAAATTAAAAATTTTTAATTGGTTGAAGAAAAATGGATTGAAAATTTATCTTTAAAAATACTAATGTACAATTGATAATTGAGGAAGAAATAGACACAAGTAAATTTCAAAAACTTTATTCAAGTTTTTGTGGTAAAAAAATTATTTGGAAATTTTTGAGAAAAAACTAAGAATTATTAATGTCTTACTTAATATGACACTGAAGTTAGCAAACGTTTAAAAATTTTTGATTTTTTTTTATTAATTAATTTGCAACTAGAAAGATATTTCTAAAAAATTGCACTTATAGTTTTTTAAGTTTTTTACATGTGAAATTTTTTTTTTTAATTTTTAAATCAAAATCTTTTCAATAAAAATTTTCCAAAAATTTTGAGATGTCGGCTAACTTCATTTTCATGACTTAATTTAAAATTTTCACAATTTTTAAATAATTTAAAATTTTAAGATTTAAAATTCACAAGAGTTTTTAAAAATTTTTGACTATAATCATACTCGTAAATAAAAATATTTAATGTTTATAATTTTTCTTAAAAAAAAATCTTGAGAATTTATTATTTTTTCTATTTAGTGATGAGTTACACGTGAACTTTCTTAATTAGTCAATACTTTAGATAGTTAATATAGAAAATAGAGATAGCTTGTAAAGAAAGCGCGAGTCAATAAGCAAAGCACAAGTAGTCGAAACACCCACTTGGATAGAATAAAAATAAATAAATTAACAACAATAATAAGAATAATAATAAGAAGAAGATGAAGAAAAAGAATAAAAATAGTAGAGTTGTAGAGTAATAGCTGTTAATAAAAATAGATAATTAATAATAGTATTATTATTTATGGTGGGACAAGGTTAATGGTGATCGACATCTATTAGCACACCAACTCGATAAAACAGTCCTAACCAAAGTTTATACCTCTCGGCGGCAACGCTCTCCATCGTTCTACGCATAAGCGGATATTGGTCCAGTACTGCATTAAAATGGTCCACTGAGAGACTAAATAGATTGCAATATGTCTCGGCACGTACTGATGCAACACGCCTTGCATTTGTGAGCAAACATATTTCACCAAAATACGATCCATCGGATAGTGAAGTGGCAACTTCACCATTCGCCATAACAATATCCACTATTCCTTCTTGTATAAAATACATTTTTGAACCTATCGTTCCCTCCTTTATTATTATGTCACCTGAAAAATAATTATTCTGTAATAAAATTATTTTTTACTTGAGCTTTAGATTAACATGAAGCTTTATTTTAATAACTATGAATAAATAATTAACTTTGAGGAATTATTCACTCACAACTGAAATAAGTTTTATTAAAATACAAACATCAAACTTTTTTATTATTCTAAACTGTTAAATATTCCAAATTAATGGGCTTATACTTTTTAAGTAAATAAGGCGAGCTTTTTAATTAATATAGAAGATAAATGTTTAATTGCCTGAATATACGATTAGTTTGGTACTTTTTGAATTTAAAGTTTATTAATATTTTTATAGCTTTCATAAAATTTAAAAGAAGAAAATTCTCGAGTATAAATATTAATTGCGACTTTGAATTGAAGAGACGCTTCTGCTCGTGCTATTAAAACCCGTGTATTTTCTTAATTAATGAAAAAAACTAAGAATTTTAATTATTCTTCTTTTCTACATTCATTAGTTAGTTTTAATGGCCATTTTATTTCTGTTTTTATCATAATTTTTCATTTATAACAAAATGTTGATTAAATTTTATTGCAATCAGAATTTTAATATTTGGAATTTTTGAAATTGGAATGCAATAAATTAATTTTTCTTTAACTTCTTGTAAACATTATTTTTATACTAATTTATTTGTTATAAAAATCCTAAAAATTTTGAGGTGTCTGCTGATTTTAGTATCATTTTAGTTTTAATATTTTTTAAAAGTTCTTTACAATTTTTAATTTTTTTGGGACAAACTCTAATTATTGTATTATTTACAATTAAAAATAGTAGATAAATTTTATCAGATATTTATTAAAAGTATCAAATTTTATGAAAAAAAAAAAAAAATTAAACAAAACTTGTTTTTAAATTATGATAAAAAATTTTTAAATCTTATTTATTAAAAAAACTAAAAAAATTTTTTATTGTTTTCTTCTTAAAAAATAGTTGTTATCAATAAGCCTAAAATTTTGACTTCAGAAAGCTTAAAGCCCTCGCAATTTTTGACCATTAATCTCAGAAAAGAAAATTAATTTTTTGCAGATAGTGCACGGAAAAAAGTAAACTGTAATAAATAACAGTCGATTTATAATAAGTAATGATCAACTGCTAAAAATTACCATTTCAAACGGTAAAATCGTGATTTTACTATTCACTTTATAATATTTACCATTTAAACGTTACAATTTACTCTTTACATGGAAGAAAATACTATTTCAAACAGTAATATTCGCTATGTCAATGTCTAAAATGTTAAAATATAATAATTAAGAATTCAGACTTTGATATTTATCATTTCGTACCTAAAAAATGATCTTAAAATATGTAAAAAGTATAAAATAAAGTTAGTAAATTTCTTATACAAACAACGTCAATATTTACAAAGTAAAATGGCAAATTTTAAACGCAACGCTAAAAATCAAACTGTAATTATTGATTTGCTTGAACTGGTAAAATGTATATTTTAAAAGTATAATTTTTACTGTTTCAAATGTTAAATTCTCCCAGAGTGCGACCCCCTTCTCTTTCATCTAAGTTCCCCTTCTCCTCATAATATGGACTATATATTGAAATGGCAATTTTTACTGTTTGAAACTGTAATTTTTTAAGATGAAAGAGTCGTTATTTACTATAGTGACAGATACTAATCACTTATTTTGTATATTAAATTATAAATTGTGGCTTTTATACTTTCTACATTAAGTTCTGTAATATTTATATTTTTGCCACCCCGATGTCTGCTTTATTATTTGAAACTATAAAAATTAACCGGAATCCGAGTGAATATTACAGTTTACTTTTTTACATGTGTCAGAAAAGTTTAAACTTTTAATTAAAACTGTGATTCTAGAATTCACCGTCATATTGAATATAAAAACAAAGAAAAAATGTAAAAATTTTCAGTGATATTAATATAGTATGATTAATGTTGCCACAGATGTTAAAAGTTATATATTATTAATAATACCTGGTTGGAAGACTTCATATCTCAATTTAGTGACAACATCAGAGACAAAGTTTGAATCTGCGTTCGCAAAGAAGGGTACTGAAGCAACGAGCGATCTGCAGTTGTAATTTATCACGTCCTGAAAAGGTGTTATATCGATAAATATATATACTTTAGTGAGTAACTATGCTGAAACTAGTTGAGTAATAAACAACAATAATAACTATAACAACTGCTGTATATCCTCTATACGAGCTTTATATATTACATCAGTACAGGTATTATTGTATACTATACATGTATATATTGATATATTTATATTACCTCTCTAAGTTTTTCGGAGAGTTCTCCGAGGATGAGCTCTTCGTCGAAAAACTTGCCTTGGTAACGATGCTCAAAGTACTCCGTTATTCTTTGACGCATTTCCCGAGGTAGCTTTCGATATGCCATGTACTCTTCGACTTGTTTGACCTGGTCAAAAATCCCGGGATCAGTATGTACATTTCAATTTTAAATCTAAAGCTCTGAAATACGGGCTTTAATTTACATAAATGGATTTCCGATGTAATGCCAATGGCGTTACATGAATATATGGGGTGTGTAACTACTATAGAGTTCAGAGTATGGAGTATAGAACACTGATAAGGATAAGGGATAAGAGTGTGCAGGTGGATAGACAGAATAGATCAGAACTTACTGTTGTGCTGTGAATTATTTATTTACCTTCTCACGATACTGCCTACGCGATGAGTCAAGTGACTGGATAAGATTTGTGGCGTGACCAAGGAACAGTGCATAACATGTTGCCCCACTGATCATGCTGAGCATCGTGAGCCACATATCGGTCAATGACTGCGGTGGAAACCTGCCGTATCCTATGCACAACATGTGCGACATTGCTTTGAAAAGGGCCCAGGAGTATTGTTCCAGCCAGAATGAGTCCTACGACATTTTATTTATTAATGCAAACAACATATTCCATTGGATTAAATAAACGGGATGTTTGTTTTTAATTAAATTCACTGATATATTATCTCGTTAAAAAATTTGCTAATGCGTCCTGATATGTCTATATATTATTTTTGATATGCCTAAATATGCCCATACACTGAAAAAAAAATTAATTTGATCCGAGAGAAAAATTTTTGAACCAAGAAAATAATTTTGAAGAGGGTAATTCGGCTGCCCAATTTTAAAACACAGTAACTGCAAAATTTTTATACCTGATTTTTTTTAGTGCTGCATTTTTTATAATTTTTAAACCTTAATTTCAAGTATTTTTTCTTAAAAATATTTATATTTGAGTAGTTTCTATTCATGAATCAAATTTGTCATTAATTTGCCGGGCAAACTTTTTTTTAATAAGAAAAATTTTTAAATGTTAGTTACTGTGTTTTGAAATTGGGCAGCCGAATTGTCTTGAATCAAGACGAAAAATTCTTGAATCAAGTAAAATTTTTTTAAATCAAGAAAAATTTATTAATTCAAGAATTTTTCTACTCAAATCAAGAAGATTAAGTTCTTCAAATTAATATACTTGATTCAAAAAAATTTTTTTTTTTGTGTACATGATAGAATATCAAAATTGGCCATATCAGGCCTGGTATGGTTATATATATCCATATATAATTTTATAACCATATATAATGTTGAAAAATATAATCGTTGAATCTTCTCCCCACGAGAGATTTAAGCCCGAGGTGTATAGTTCAAATATGAAAATAAATTCTTTTACTTTTTTACACGGTAATTGATTTACAAATTAAAAAAAAATAAATAAAAAATTGAGAAATTTGAATAAATAATTATTTTATTCTCATATATAGCCTGAAATAACTATATAATGGCTGTATCAGGTCATATATGGCCATGTCATAAAACTATTTTTACGAGATATTATTATTCAGTATTATATCGTTAGTGACAATATTTATTTTTAATATTTTTAACTTATTAAAAAATCTAAATTTTAAAAATAAAAGGACAATTTTTTTTACTTCCATATAGATTTCTGTGAAGTAAAACCTCATTTTAGAGAGAAAAATATTAAAAATTTTGCAGATACATAAAATGGTACCAATTATTAACTGTAGGCGAATTGTTTTTTTTTTTTGCATGCTTTAAGCGCGAAGCGCGTAAGTATGTTCTACTATGGCCTAAAAATAAAAATTCCAATGTTTCGCCGCACAAAATTTTTTTATTTTTTTTTTTTACAGTGATTTGAACGATAATCAAGTATTTATATTGTATACTTGGTTCATTGTATTCAATTCAGCAGATTAATAGCGCATACACACTGGCTGTCAATAATTGAAGTAACGGTATGTCAATTTTTGGATCAGTCGGTTGTTGATATGTCAATAATTGGTGTATCCGGTCGATCGAATTTATCACTTCAAGTGTATCGTCAAATTCAATAAATTTTATTGGAAAGAGTGGATTTTATTAGTAAAAGACAAATTATGACTTAATCCGAAATTGAATTTATTTTATATAGAAAAATGACTTTTTAAATTATTTTCTCTATTTTATAATATCAAATATATTTTTATTAATTTTGATTATTTTAATTAATAGTTTTTCAAGATATATTTAACTGAAATTATGTTTTTTCCTTTAATTATGAATTTTTCTGACATATTTCTAATATCCTGTATCATAAAATACATCTTATAAATCAAGTTAATCAATAATTAAATTCCACGATAAATAATATATTAATTTCGCAACTATACAAGTTATGTCACAATAACAAGGAAAAATTCAAGTAAACACATGAATAAATTGATAAATTAAAAAGATCTATAGTTTGTGAATAAGCATTGATTGACTTTTATCTCATATAAATGTAAAATATGTTTGTTCTTAACACCTGATAATATCCTCATCTTTATTTTATGACAAGCAATTAATGTCAATAAATTTATAAATAAAAATGAATAAGATGATCACGGATATTGCTGCAAAAAATATTCATCGTAATAAACTGGTGTTCTGAGTAAAATTAATGCTTTGATTCTCATGAGTGAATATTTTCTACAACGCGCTTTTAATTAAACTAGAAAAGAAAAATACTTAAACGAAGTTATGTTACCTGCAATTCATTAATCGCGACCCAAGAATTACTTGGGAATCCCTGAAGCATAGGAACAAGGAATTGAAGACAACCACTCCAGTGGCCGATCAATAGCATCATACAGATCAGATTGAATATTCTCATGAACACCGACGCCATGTTCAGGAACTGCCGACAACAATAACAGTTAGCTTTATTTCCTTTTTATAATCATTGTGTTGGTCAAAAAAAAGAAAAATAAAAATTTTGGGTCTTTTACTCTAATTATTAACTCTTTGCTCAAATCTGGACATCAATTGACATTAATAATCAATATTTATGTAATATAATATAATATAACATTACGGAGGATAGTTAATTTAATTAAAACTCATTTCTAAATAATAATTCAGGGGTCAAATAAGCATTCTTTGCAAATGTGTACAGCAAATAAGCTCAGTGAATTATTCAAAGAATAAATTGAAACAAAATAAAAAATCTATTAATTTGAAAATAAAAAGAACTACCGCATAGGTGTGTTCATTTATGATTTCAACTGGCTTTATAAATTTATTAGCGTTCACTGATATGACTGATTATAATGAATAAAGTTAACTACATTCAATCTACAATTTAATTTATATAAAACTAAAACATATTGGGTAAACTTTAGGTAACATTAATGTTATTATATAGGAATAATAATAATAATTAAAATAATATAAAGTAAAATAAAAAGTCTAAAGTGTGTATAAAATTTAATAGCACACTTGCGACAAATAAACAAGGTAAATATCAAGCTTCAAACTGTAAATAATAATATAAAATATGAGTATTAATATTAATTAAAAAATAAATACACACATTAATAATAATAAAAAAAAAAAAGTAAAATTTTATTATTCTGGTGAAAACGCCACAGCAAAAAATATGTAAGCGTTACATTGGGAGTTGTAACATAAAAAAGGGTTATTGCAAATAAAACTGTAAAAAAACAATAAAAAGTAAATTAAATAACTAGTATAAACATCGCTACGAAAAATCAATCTCATGGGCGTTATGAAATTCTCGAATGCGGGCCATCCGAGTGCGCCGGTGCAAAATTCAGTTATAACGCATAGATCAACACAGTTTTTAAAAAATTGCTTTTTTTATTAAGTTGAGATCGATTAATCGTTAGACGAATTAAGTCAAATAAAAACTGTGCATTTACGACGAGACAAAGGAAAACAACACAAATGCATTTCATTACAGCCTCAAATCGCAACTAAAATATTAATTATAATAATAATAATAATAACAACAATAATAATAATAAAAATTTATAATTAGTAATGAAATCTCATTAATATTTAATAATGGTAATAATATATAACATTTCGTGACGGTTTAATGCAGGAATTGTTTTCTAGAAGGGTAGAACAATGTCTACGGCTCACGCAGCTTCCTCAGGAGATTACAACACTTGAGAGGAAAATTATAAGAAAATTATTTGGTTAGATATGTGACTCCATCTACTTTTAGTCATGAAAAATCAAATATTTTGGTTAATTTTTTCTCTTTAATGGTCAAAGTATTCACAATGTTCAAGTATTTAGAATAAAAAACAACAATAATCCTGTTTTTTTTTTAATTTTTAAATTATAGTCATCTTTGTTTCTGGAACAAAGTTTCTCGTTGGTTTAGTTAGCGTCTCATAGATGGCTACGGGTTATGAAACGTATACTGATAGAAAATTTATGTTGACTCAAGAGATATTTTCTTGATCTAAGAATTTATTTTGGAAGACAAATGATTATCTTGCTCTAAGAATTTTTTGTCTTGATTTAGATTTTCTTGGCTTAAGAGTTATATTATCTTCAATCGATACATTTAAGTTTTTCAATCAAAATAACATTATCGTTTAAAAAACTTAAAATAATTCATCAAAGTATAATTCAAAAATTAAATAGTCTTTAATTGTTATACCAAAAAAAAATTATTTCTTAGAAATAAGTAAACTACTTAATGACTAAAAAAAAAAAGCCATTCTTAACACAAGTCGGTAACATCTTGAATCAATGTTATCGCCTATCTTGAACCAAGAAACAAAAATTCTTGAAAGAAATATATCTATATCTAGTTTCAAGAGTTCAAGTTTTGAAGAAAAAAAGTTTCTTGAATCAAGATTGTTTTTCTATCAGTGTAGTAACAGGTTTCTCATAACTTCTGTAACTAGATACATTAATATAATTTCATTTGTAAATCATGGTTGTTTTTTCATTATTACAGATAATACGAATAATTGCCACCATATTTTATATTATTATTTTTTCATAATGTTTCTTTGCTCTTAAAACCACAAAAATGGTCCTTCATTGATAATTAATGATCGCTTTTAGATTATGCTTCTTAATTTGCAGTTTATAATGTTTTTGCTTTTATTTATTAATTTTAATAATTATACTTGAAAACAACAGTTAATATTTATTATTTATATTGATTTTATAATTAGTACAAATCCATTATTGCCATTTAAAGTATTATCGTGCCAATTAAAGATTATTTAGATTAAAGATTATTAATCTAACATTTCAATTGAAACAAAAAAAAAAAAAACAACGGAGTGTTTGATTTTTTATTGTTGTTATTCGTTCCAAATACTCGTAAAAAATTTAATACATCAAAATTATAAATTTTTCAATTTTCTTTCTTCATTATCTGATGGCCATAAAAAAAGAACAAAAATGTAATTTTGATTTTTTACGACCAAACAAGGTGGAATAACACCAACCATTGATCTAAAAAAACAAGTAGCTTAATGAAATGATTATTTATTAATTGTTTGAATCGATGATTGTTGATGAACGAAGTTATTATAATTAGGTATTAATAGTCGAGCATTATAATTACACATGGACTTTTGGACTGTTCACATTGTTGTGATGTTCTGAATGATGATTAAGCCACATGGAAGGCTAGATTTACGCATTAAATGCTGGATTTTGAGATTGTATCGGTATGACATGTTGTGTGAATCTATGTTTGTATATTGGGATGTAGTGTGCCAACTGGATGAACATACGCACACATGATCGACTGAGTGAACAACCGTCACGGACAAACCATCAACTGATGTTACGCTTTGTACTCGACAAACCCGTTTAACTTTACATTGTTACAATATTTACTGTAAGTGAATTGCCTTTGTGTTAAGACAATATAATTTTGTTTCATACTATTCGGATTTAAATTTCAAATACTATTTTTTAACTTAAATGTATTCGCTTCGGGTTGCAGTCAACTAGTCAGACTGACAACATTCCGAATTAATAAATTACTAGAACTTAAAAATTAAATATAAATTATAATTTAAAATAATTAATTTTACAAATTTTAAAATTCCGAAAAATATCAACTTGAATAAAGAAAAAACTAAAGCTATATTAATAGAATGTTTTAAAATCACAAAGTCTCAATAAATTAAAAAACATAACAACGAAAATTTTTACGGCAAAATGAATGAATAGACGAACAGTTATTTAGCCGAAAAATGTAAATATATAGTTATTTGGATGAGTAATTTTCGGCCGAATCATTATTCGTATGGATGAGTATTCGGATGAATATATGTCGGAACGAACTTTTTTCGAAATTAAATTAATTTTAACTCTGGAGGAATATAAGATTTATGTTTACCTATATTCGATAGCTCGGTGTTTTATAATTTTCAAAATTGTTTTTCGGCTGGTATTCTATTTAAGTTAATGCATTTTATAAACTTTGAATGTAGCGGAATTTTTAATTTTCTAGAGTTTTGATAATTCGAAATATTGTCAATCTGACTGGTTGACCGCAACCCTTCGCTTCTTGAATACGCAATTATAATCACTCATCAATTAACTTTGAATTGAGAAGTTAGAACATTTTTGACTCGATAAGTCTGGCACGGGGTTAACAGTGATTGGTAAAAAACGTAAACACTATATCGTAGGTCGGTAAAAATTTTTTATGGTCAAGCTAAAAAAGTCTTACCATAAGAATAATCACGTTACTTTTTTTATTATAATAATCTTAGGATTACCCGACTTCGATGATAATGAGTGAGAATATGGATGCGAGAGAAGTATTTTATAGTATTATATGTGTGTTAATAAAATATAATCCATTGCATTTAAAAGCGAGCATTTGAAGCAATAAGCATACTGCACTACAAGCTATAACAATAAAAGCTATTAAGCGTTTAGATTATAAGCAATGAAGCTTGTCTATAAAAATATACAGGTATTCTAAATAATAGAAATAAGAATAATAATAATAAAAATAACTAATACTAGTTGCAAATGCGGGTTGGCTGGTTACGAAAATTTGAGCACACGCACACGCAAGGGACAAATAAATTACCATACACACAGCATATACGGATTTGAATAGTACAAAATTTCAATATCTAAAATGTATATATATATATACTTTTAAAAGTTTATGAATAAACTTGTCTACCACGAAAATTTAGTGCAACTTTCCTCGTGGTATCCTCTAAAACGTCAAATATTATGCTGGTGTAATTTATAATAACTTATAAACTTATGAATATATACGAATAAAAGCGACAAAGAAGGGACGCCCAATTACGTGCGCTGCATCGAAATTTATATATGTACAACCGAGTCTTGTTATGAGTCCTATTTGTTTTCTTTTTTTTTTTAACCAAACTCCCGTTAATATGAGAGAGACACTAATAGGACTCCTAACGAGACTCGACTGTATATGTATATATTTATAAATTGCACACTGTCTAGCGATCAAAAGATACATACTTTTTTTCCAAATCAAATAGTCTATTGTATTCAATTGATTAGAATTAAATACATACATACAGATATAATATTTACATATAATATAACCATTATAATTTTATTTCTTATAAATAGATTTAAAATCGTGCGATAGATTTATTTGAAAAAAAGAATCGATAGGCAGAAATAGAAGAAGAAGTTATAGTACAGTATAAGAAAATGTTTTCTTTCAAATATTTTTTTTAATATTGTTAATAAAAGTTTGATAATTAATACGATATTCAAGCGATATCGAATTCGCTGGGATTCCGCTTCGTCGAAGTAAATTTAATATAATATTCAAAACTTTTTATCGCTAGGCACGTGTTGGAGGTGTAAATTTTTAGCAAAGCCTATTGCTGCTTATTGGTTACGAAAACAAAATAAAAATTCAAATTTATACATATGTATCACTAATGTACACACGTATATATTGGTTTGTTTAATGTAGCGAAATAAAAGTAAATTATAAATAATTACGGCGGAAGGAGTAAGCAAACGTTTTTTAAAAATAAACCCTTTTTTTAAGTAGAAACCAACGAGCCAATCAGTGTGCAGATCTCCCCTTTTTGCGCATTCCTTTCCGGGCTCAATGCAAAATTCATGGAGTGGAGGTTTTTATTATCCGATAGTAATTTATCATTTTGGTGTCTAGTTTTTTTTTGGAAAATGATTTTAAGATTGTCATTGTTAAGAGAAGTCAACCTTAGACCGATATCAGATTCTATGTTTTTCGACATTTCTATTTTAATTGTTCAAGAAAATAAATGTTTTTACTCTTATAATTGTAATTATATAAACATTTGAAACGTTATTTTTATGCTAGCGTAATTACTTTTTGATTAATTAAAATTATAACTTATCATAGATTAGATTACTTCATTACAGTAAATTTTGAAATTTTTTTGCTCTAAACTTTGTCTTAATAAAATAAAGTTTAAGAGTGAGTACACCTATGTTGTAACAGAAATCCCGAGTCGAAAAATTTAAACTGATTTTAAGCTAAATGATCTGCATTTGAACTTATTGATCTGTATTTGAACTTTAAAAAACATTTTTATCGGTATTTCATCTACTATTAAAATTATTTTTGATCTGTTTTAAGTCTAAATAACCTTTTAGTAAAATAATTGAGCAAAACCGACTAAAAATTATAGAACGTTTTGGTTTGTTTTTAACCTTGATGCGATCAAAACCAGCTAAATGATTGTGACGAAAAAAGTCTGATTTTGGTCTTGAAACAATAGAAAATAATTTTATTATAACATTAAAAATGATCTGAAATTGGTCTGAATTGTGAATAATACGGGCAAAAACAGATTAAATTCTCATATAAAATAGATACACATAATAAAATTAAATTGAATGAAAAATATTAAAAAATTTTATTAATCATAAAACAGACTAAATTTTTTGACCCGGGATGTCTTTTAAAACAATCTTCTGAAGATACTTTAACGAGACTTTCAAATATTTTTTTTTATTCTAATCGAAATCCGAATTGCTTTATGTGATCAATATTTTCAAATTAAATTATGTGTGTTTGCATCATGAGTTGGATACTAATGCTAATTAGTTGCTGGTGGAAAACATTAAAAACAAACAAAGTTTTTCAATATCGGTTTAACATTAATTTGGAATCAATAACTAACAGTGTCCAGAGAAATTAAAATTCTGGTAGCAGAAAGGCTTCTTCTATCCTCTGGGATGATAATTTAAATATTGTATCAACCATAATAATATTCGACACTTGGAACTTTACTGAGATAAAATAAAAACAAAAATGAAAAGTGAGTTTGCAAGAGCATTAATAACGAACCCGTCCAATGGGAATTGAATAATAAAAATGGATTGTACAATATAGAGGTTGTTTATCTTTGATATATGCATGTATATTTTCCACTCCATGTTGGTTTGAAAAATTGAGCCGGAATACAGTATTATTTATCACAAATAAAAAGAGGAAAGTCGCATTGGTTTTTCAGTCTATTTATTATTATATATAGCTTTTAATTTATTTTATTGGGACTGCTTAGAAATAAGAGCTTGTATTGCTCGCTTGGATTTTGTTTAGTTTCTAATATATTTTAATAGTTTTAGTTTGTTTATTTTTTTTTCTTCATCAGGAGGGCGGGTTACCTTAAAAATAAGGTCGCTTTTGTTGAAACCGGACTTCTTTTTATTCATATTGTCAGAGCTTAGGCGCCCCCTCCGCTCAGTGCGTTTTTTTTGTAGGTTCTGCAATATCTAGAAACAAAAGAAAGCCGGGACATAGCAAGACATAGTAAGAGAAGAGTTAGACAGGGAGTTTCTTGATTTTTTTATTATCTTTTTTTTTTATTTTTATCACTATTAAACTCTGTTAAACTTTATTAGGAAATAAAATAGAAAAGAAAACTTTAAATGATAAATTTTTTAAAATTATAATGAAGAAAAAAAATGATGGTAAAAGTAAATAAAAATTTTTTGTTAAATAAGAAGAAAAAATAAAGTTTAAATAAAAATTTGTTAGTTCATAATAGTTTTAAGTATTAGAATCAGAGCACCAGTAAGTAATTTAGTAACGAGCCTAAAACCATTATCGCTCTTTCCATCATTTTAGATGTCGATAATTGTTAATAATTTGTTTTTTTTTAATATATACTTTTCATTCTCTCCTTTGTCGTATACGCAGATAATTTTATTTATTGTAACTTACTCTCTCGTTCTCAAAAGTGTGTTTGATTTATAATTTATAATTAATTAAAGTATTAACTTAATAATAAACGTCACAAACGTAATTGCAGGGTGTGATTTAACCAGGTATTAAAGTGTACAAGTTGACCATTATCGCCCAAGTGACGGCGAGACAACAGCAATAAATTAAATAATGTGAGTTGAGAGCTTGTTAATTAACGCAGTATTAACTACACGGGAAGAAAGGTTCACTTGACTCAAGACAAAAATTCTTGAGTCAAGAAATTTTTTTTTAAACCGAGAATTTTATTTTAGCTTAAGAATTTTTTCTCTTAACTCAAAAAATTCATTGTTTTCCTCATTAAAAAATTTTTTTCTCTTGAGTCAAGCTTACCTTTCTATCGGTGTAATTAATTAATTATTACCATTGATTAACGGAAATGTTTTATTTGAAAGCTTATTCAGCGATCGTTAAGCGAGGAAGCGATTTGTTAGCAAAGCTTTAGAAATGATTTTATATAAAAAGATAAATTGATAAAGTAATAATTGATAATTGAATGAATCCAAATGATTTATTTTAGTTAAAAATATAATAAATTGAGAGGATTTATTGTTAAGATAATTTTTAATGTTATTTTTTTCCGATAATTTGTATTTTTGTATGGCGTTGAAAAAATTGTTGGTCAACTTGCACATAATCCTCTCATTTATATTTACGTTTAATAAAGTTATAAAATTAATAAACATTGAAATTAATATAAATAAAAGAGTTTATTATTGTGTATAAATATTAATATTTAATGTGAAAATGAAAGTGTTGACGTTTATTGTGTGTTTTATGTAAATTTATACATTGTAGCAATAAATTTATTCCCTCATAAGGTAGTGTAAAAAAAGAGCTGGTATTTTCGTTCTATTTTACGTTATTACCCAGATGTGCAAAAGAATCGGTTAGCTCTCGCGTTAAATGCGTTAAATGTACCTTGTGACAGCTGGTAATACAAATGTAATGTAAAAGATATAAATAATGTTAGAAAAAGAAGCCGAATAATAAATTAAACTTATTTTATCATCATTATAATCTCTTAACTTTTAAAAATTATTACTGTAAGCTTTTTTTGAATGATACGACTATGGAACCTATATTTTCTTTGTTTAACAACTTTTTTTAATTTGATATTTCACAGTAAAAAATTTTGCGTCATTGCGTCAAAAAACTTAGTGTTAAAAATTTTTGTGTTAAATAAAAAGTGTTAAAATCAACACAAAAAGTGTTAAATATTTAACACAAAAATTTTTAAAACTAAGTTTTTTGACGCAATGACGCAAAATTTTTTACTGTGTTGGTTCAATGAAAAATTTTTTGTAAAACTCCAAGCTTGTAATGAATTTTCAAATTATAAATGTTATTACTTTTATTTTCTTATCTGTAATTCAATATGAAAACTACTGTGTTAGAAATAAAAAAGTTTTATATTTCAGAGGTGTAGATCAATAAAAAGTGAAGTATTGAAATTGATAAAACTCGTTAGACTTATACGCAGGAGGTCAAGGTTCGATTCCCGGCGCCGGTATATTGGAAAAATGAACGTGAAAAATGTATTTTTTAATTTGTTCGTAGGTCAATTTAAAGGAATGTTATTTTAGTAAATATTCAGAGTAGTATAAAACCATTATTTTTAAAGTTAAAAACCTTCTTTTTTCAATAATTTTGTGTAAATTTACTAAATTTTGTAAAATCATTCAAAAAATTCGAAAAAAATGATCAATTTTGCTTATTCAAGTCTTTAATATTTTTTTAAATAAAAATATTTATCATTTTTCACAGCCCTTTGTTAAAAATTAATTTTTCTTTGAATTAAAAAATTTCTTTCAAAGCTTCAAGAGTTAAAAAAAAAAATCTACTTTGTTAAGAGATTATAAGTAATGTTAAGAAATGAAACAAAAAACATTTATGTCTCTCTTTTATGCAGCAGCACTTAAAATTAAGCATTAGTACTTAATTATAACCATAAAAAAAACCTATTTACCTAGGAAAAATGATCATTTAAATAAACGCGTTCGGCTGTAAAAAACAACAGAGGTGGGAACGGTACAAGTGGTACATACAGTGGAGTAGTACAACAGACCGGTGTTTTAGTGCATAAATATTTATCGGGGTTATTAAAAAGATAAAAAGGCACCTATTTGAGTTGTTTGATTTTTGCACACCGGAAGTTACGAAATTAACTATTTTGTTTTTTGTCATAAAAATGTAAATTCAGCGGCGACGGAAGTCGACTTAAGAATCTAATTACCCCGTTATCTGGTTTAGTATCCGATTATTTAAAATAATTAATCTTTAATAATATATTTATGTATACAAAAATACGGATTTTTGTACAGATATATTTGAATGTATAAAAGGCCGCTAATGACATTTGTAACGGTTCCGCGATGCGAAACATTCATGAATCTGATTCGCATGAGTAATTATTTTAAATGGAAGAAAACAAGAGACGGAGAGTATGAATTGTGCTTTAATAATACAGTAGTAGAGCGTGCAAGAAAAATATATATTTCAATGAGTGGAGAGAGCAGTAACGTGTTAATTAAAAAAATAACAGAATAGTTATTAAAGTGAATATTGCTTTTATTTAAGAGTGATATATATTTTTTTTTTATTTATTAATTATTGCGAATATAAATAATGTGAACTAAGTATGTAACTTATTTATCTACATATATATATGTATATATTTATATTTATATACATATATGTATTTTGATCCGATAATTAATTGGAAACAATTATCAGGCAGTGAATGACACGAGGCAGCAAGCAAAGTGTTAATTATATATTATATATATATGTTGTCTTTTGCGTGGAGAAATTATCAAGTGTGTTGACTAATCGACACGTGTAAATATGTTATCCATACTTAATTGCATTTAACATGTATAATACTATGTATATATGTATGTGTGTGTGTGTGTGTGTGTATATATTAATACGTGGAGAGATGTTGTATGTACAGTGCGAATTGCATATAGTATGGCATAATATAATATAACAGGATACATCCGTCACATAAACATTATTACGGGCACATTGTCAAAATTATAATATTATTTCAAATTGTTTTAATAGTATAAACAAATAACTTTACGGGCAAACACATCTGTACACCTAACAACACTCGCAAGCAGACCTAAGAAAAAACCTCGCGCTAAAATTCTCACTTTGAATCTTCGAATGATACTTTTTTTTTTCAAATATTAATTGATGTCCATGGAAAAAATAAGTCTGAAGACTGACTTCTTTGAAAAGTTTATGTCTTTGAAAATGAAGAGAAAATGAAATTAGTTTTATAAAATAGAAAAAAAATTTTATGAAAATGAAGTTAGCTGAAATTTCAAAATTTTTAGAAAATTTTTATCGAAAAAATTTCAATTATACAATTAAAAAAAAATATATCACATGTTAAAAACTTGAAAAACTATGGGTGCAATTTATTATAAATATCTTTTTAGTTGTAATTTAATTAAAAAAAAAAATCAAAAATTTTTAGACGTCTGTTAACTTCAGTGTCATAAAATTTTGTGATTTTTTTAGTGAAATTTTTAGTTTTTCTTCCAATTTTTATTGTCTCTTAAGAAGCTTATTTAATATTGGTTTATAGTTTAATCAACGACTAAATGAATTTTTCTTTTAAAATACATGTTAATTGACATACCCATTTCTTGGAAAATACCAAATTATATTAAATAATTTTTTTAATCTCATACATATAAAAAATAGTTTCTCAAATTTTGATCAATCTTTTACATAAGTTTTTTTTTCGTAGAATAAATTAAGAATTTAGCAAAATTTTTTTGAGAAAAAAAAAATGAGTAAAATATTAGTAAATTCACCAAAAAATTTAATATCAAATAAAATTAAATTCAAAGTGAGAAGTAAATAGCACATCTATTGTGAACACGAACTTTTCTGAACCTATGTGAAAAAAAAAAACATTTCCAACCGACCATCATGACAGCATGTCAACAAATCGTTCCCAGGACATCGGCAAGGACTGGTATTATCGTGTCTGTGCAAGGTGCAGGATCATTGGTAAGAATTTTAAAAACTATCAACTATCTAAAATATTAGTAACTTTCAACAATTAATATATTAATTCACTAAAATATTGATATTATTATTATTTTAAATTGCATTCAACTCCACGTTGCATGGACACGTGGATGCGAGCAAGTAGATTAGTTTGTTTAAGAAGGAAACTACGTAGGTTCTGAGCTCGATCTAGGCAATATATTTTCACAAAATATATCAACATCAAACTCTACCCTTCGAACATTAAGAATCATTAATAACATCTCAAAAAGCGCGCGCTACACGCTCACACGCGTGTATGATACAAAATAATTGGCGCGATGCACTACTGTGGTTCTAGTGTTGACTCTAAATCGAAAGGTAGAGCTTTAATCGATCGAAGCAGACCGTAAACTAACATGGAACAAAAATTACCAATTATAATTGTTTAAAAAAACATAAACTTAAACATAAACAACAAAAACAAACTGTTTTTAATAATAAAACTCGTTATCGGTTGCCCAGACTCCGTCACGACAAAAATATTAACTCTAACACTTTATCTAGTCGACAAACATTATTCAAACTTATAATACAAAACTTAATTAATGTTATTTATTGTTAAACAAAAAAAACAATAATAAACACAAAGATTATTGTTAATTTTTCAAAAAACAAAAAATTGTCAAAACAAAAAAACAAAATAATAAGAGGAATCCATAATAAAGTACACAAAATAATCTAGGCAGTACGTAGTAGAAAAAAACATGAATTTTTAAGTTAACGAACGCTTCAATCAAGAAAGGGCAATTGGCCTTGATTTTGGGGTTACTAGGCAGGCACACCTTGCTCGTTCGGTCTGGTTGGGGCGGTGTAGCCCGTCGCTCGTAGTGTCTCTCCGGCTGTTGGTATAGGGGGATCTGCAAACCCATTTGTAATGTGTTCGCAAGGCCCAATATATAATCAACCATCAAGCATAATTTTCTCTCTTTACAATAATAATAATAGTAATAATAATAATAATAATTATAATAATAATAATAATAATAATAATAATATTACTAATTATTCATCAATTTTTGTATAAAAAAAAAAAGTTTAGTTTTTAAAATATTAACAAACATAAAAATATATATATTGAATTAATTATAATTGTAAATATAAATAAAAGGAATAATAAATAATCTATGTAACAGTCGCGGGAAATGGGACAGGGGTGGGGTATGTGAGGACACGGTAAGTGCCGTAATAAACGAGTACAAAGTAGCAGCAGTGATAAGTATGATGCACTATGGTTAATAATTATAAATAATCATAATCACATATATATTATTAAATGTTACCGTGATACAATAATAAAGAGCAGACACTTGGGCAATTAATATAGTTTAATGGATTTATTTAAGTTGTATTTATTTATTTATTTATGCTTTGTCAGTGTTTTTACGTTGTAATTGTACTAATAAGTAAACGTATTTTTCCGGTTTCGCGTTGCCGTTTTATTTTGTGTGTTTCTTGTTCGTTGTTAGGATATTTTTTTAATGTCGCGTGCTTCTCTCTGACCTGGTCTTGGCTTTTTATTTTTAAGTTTATATTAATCGGAATTTTATTAATTGATTGCGCAGTAATCTACTGGAAATAATTTTACCGAAAGAATATCACTGGTCAAATGTGAATGTTTAATAACTGTTTAGATGTGACCTCAAAAATTTTTATTTTTGAAATAATTTATATTTTTAAATCATAGATTAGTAAATATTCTAAATTTTATTGAATAAAAAAATCAAAGTATGAATTTTTTAAGATTTAATTAAAAATTTTTGAAATTCTATATTATTAATAATTTTGTTCGAAAACTAAGACTGCAAAAAGACATTCGCCTTCAAATATTTAAACAACTACTTGGTGCGAAACACTACCGTGCCTCCCAATAAACTAAAAAAAAGTACTTTTAATATTTTTATCATCACTAAAATTTATAGTTTTATCCCAGTGAAATTTTCTCGATAAAATATTCTCGGTCGTTTCTTCCGGTAGATTTGATTTATCATAATCGATAGCGCACCTTGACTTTGCTATCATAATTTTATTGAACAGAAATCTGTTATTAGTTTCTTAGATTAAACTAAAAAATTCTAACATTAACATCAACATTAATATTAATATAAAAAAAAATGAGCTTTGTATGTAAACAAATAAACAGTGTAATAAATAATACAAAAATAATAAAAGCATGATGATCTTATCTTGATGACTGCAAACTGCTCGGCAAGTGCCTGATTGATTCGTTGGTCTGTACAACGCGTACAATGTGATTGCGCTAAGTGACGAAGCAAAGCCAGAGAGACAGAGAGGCATGATTTAAATAATAAAATAATCAAATGGAATACCGATCGAGAGCACCGCTTTGTTCTTTATATTTTGGTATGGCTGCGTCAATTATGTTGACCGATATTTCAGATCAGCTCGATAATATTCAGATGTAATATATGTATTTATATATATTAGAATAGTTAAAAAAAAAAACGAACTTTTTTTTTCTCAGTAACAGGCTCAAAAGTTTCGTTTAGACATAAAAATAAGCCTGTGAAAAGATGAGCTCTTAATTTTAATGTTAAGATTTTCCATAAGAATAACATGAGAAAAATTATTTTTATTTCTTTCGATTTTTGTAACTCACCAACCAAAAATTATAAAGACAAATCGTTCAAATATTTTTGTAGAAAATTGAACGTTCTACAAAAGAGGTTTTTTATGATTTTTTGATAAATTGATTGGTTCCAAAGTTATTGAAGATTAAAGTTAAACTCACCATCAATTTTGCCGATTTTTGGATATTGCAACAGAACTATTTAGTTTCATCAAAAAATTTTGCCTGAAATTTCATGCGAAACATGAATAAAACATTCTTCGAGTTGCTAGACAATATTTTTTTTTTAATTTACAAATATTAATAGAACATTTTATGAAAAATTTCAATTACACTAAGCTGTTTATTAAGATTTTTTTTTTTTTAATTTAAGACAAAAAAAATTCTTTCATTTCTTGTAAGGATTTTTGAATAATCTGAACCAACAAGTTGATGGTTATTCAACAAATTAATTTTCTTTTAAACGTCATAGAACCATGCATCATGCGCGATGTATGTCAAAAGGTATCTACAGTTTAAAAATATTTCTATTCCGAAAAGAATTTCCTCTTTATGCTCGCAAAATAAAAAGTTTACGTCGTTTGTATGTTTGTGGTTTTATTTTATACAAAGGTATGGTATACTTCAACAGTCACTTTGACATTCAGTTAAATCTTTTGTTAATAAGGATTCTAAATCTTTTTCATCAATTCGGATGATTCATTGCTGTGAATTTTCTCCGGTTTTACAGAGCATCAACAATTTTTTTGTTATATCCACGAAGCCATTGTCATCAAATAATGCAATTATAGCTAGTTCTTGATTCAAATACCACAAGTGGTCAGTCATTTTTTTAAGAGCTTGCTTTTTTACCGCCGGATCCAGATTTTTATTTAAAATAAATTTCTTAACGAATTCTATATCAATATTTGGTGCCAGAATAGCAGACGTTTCGAAAAAAAATTCTAATTAAACAGTTTAATGTAATTTAAATGTTTTATAAAATGTGCTGTTAATGTTTGTAAATGAAAAAAAATATCTAGTAACTTAAAGAATGTTTTATTCATGTTTCGCATGAAATTTCAAGCAAAATTTTTTTATAAAACTAAATAGTTCTGTTGCAACATACAAAAATCGGCAAAATTGATAGTAAGTTGAACTTGAATCTTCAATAACTTTTGAACTAATCAGTTTATCAAAAAATCATAAGAACCCTTTTCTATAGAGCGTTCAATTTCCTGTAAAAATATTTTAACGATTTGTCTTTATGATTTTTGGTTTGTGAATTGCAAAAATCATAAGAAACAAAAACAATTTTTCCCATGTTATTCTTATGGAAAATCGAAAAGTGCAAAGCGGAGCATCTTAATAATAAAAGTAAGAGCTCATCTTTTCACAGGCTCATTTTTATGTCTAAACGAAACTTTTAAGCCTGTTACTGAGAAAAAAAAGTTCGTTTTTTTTTTTTTTTTTTTTTTTTTTTTTTTTTTAACCATCGTAATATATACATACATCATATACATATACATATGTTTTAAGTTGTTTTTTACTATTTTATAAAATACGAATTTTATTTTATAAATTATAACACTTTATACTGTGCGTTTTTTAATTTCATTATTAATTTTGTGTTAGATATTAATTATTGATATAGTATAGAGAGTTGAGACCTAGTTACTCTTTACTGTCTAGTAAACCTAATTATTATTTGTACTACTTACTCATTTAATCGAGAGAGTTTTAAAGTGTTGGAGGACGTCTAATCGCGATTTTAGACTTTTACCTTATTATTAATTGCATTACTTAAGTGTTGTATTGTATTGAATATAAAAATAAATAAAAAAGGTATTGTAATTTAAATTTTAAAAATACACAAAAAATCAAACATTAAGTCATAATAATTATGAAAAATTTTGATAATAATAATAATATAATAATAATTGACAGTATGATTATACAAATGAATACTTACATAGACCTCTTCCCATTGCGATACGTATCGCACAAGTCTTGATAACCTTAGCAGTCTTACTAGCGAGAGAAGCTTCGCCAATCTGAGAATTCTAAGCGCGCGTCCAGCGTGTAAAATCTGGAAAGACTCACTAAAGTCCTGAAACTAGGTTTCAAACAAAAAAATATACCGTTAATTAATTTGGCTTTGAAACTGAGTGGAGATGTAAATTTAATATCATTGTAATCTTACTGAAAGGTGTGAAGGTAACATAAACTTTAAGGTGGAAGGTGGGAAGCTGAGGGAAATTATTTAGTTGTTTTAGAAAATGAAATCGGAGTGTAGAAAAAAGGTTTAAACTTGGTCTTGGGTCGATGAGCAGGGCTAGGCTGAACTGTATGCGAAAAGATAATGAAAATAAAAAAAGGAGGAAGATGGAATGTTTCTACAAGACACTTACTTGATTAAATATGAGAAAAATGTAGTCTAGTGGTATAGAGGAGATAAGGTCAAGAAAGAACCAGGTCCTGAGGTAGTGTTTCGCTATCAGCTTTGGGTCCAGTATCACCTGCTCAGCGTTATCTTGCTGCATTATTCCTGTAACAGTTTTTGAATTCATTATTTTTTTGTTTAATTAAAGAGATGTGGGTTGTGGTTTTTAAGTTTTATAAAAAAATTTAATGAAAAGTTTGCCTTAGTTCAAGAGAATTTGATTATATTAACTGAAATTAAGAGGAAAAATTTTTTAGGGAAATTTTTATAATACTAAAATCATCAGATGTGTAACTATTATTTTCAAGCAAAGAGATTAGCATTAAAAAAATATTTTTTTAAAATTGCGTGTTTATTTTATTTCGATTTCCGCATGTGGACTTGTTAAAAATTTCCGGATATAGCGAAATTTTATATTTTGCTTGATCTGATCGTATATGGCCATATCATGCAATATATGAGAATACAAAAAAATGTATTATAATTTTTCTATTATTTATTTCTTCTGTAAATGTGTACTTCAATTAATTCCAAACAATGTCAAATAAGCTCCTTGAGAAAGTAAAAGAAATTATTTTAATTTTATAAATTTATATTTCGAACTTGACTCTCTATTAGGGAGAATATTCAGCGATCATGTACCCGCTGTCGGAGATTTTCGAAACTAATTAGGATACAAAAATCATATAAGGACATATGAAGCCTGATATTTCTATAAAAGGACATAAAAACCATATCAGAAAGATTTTTTACGAATTGTTATAAAAAATTCGAAAAATTTTCGAATATCTGTCAATTTCAGTTTTATAAAATTTCATGGTTGAAGAACATTCTTCCCAAATCAAGTTAGATTTTATCTCAGTAGAGGATTTCAACTCACTTCGTCTACTTTAAACTAACAGAATTTAACGAAAATATAAAAGATTAAGTCCTTTAGGCACGAGCAAAATTTATGCAAATGCCCACCAGAAGCTTTAACTTTATCGAAGTAACATAACACGAGCTACCTAGTTCCATCGACTTTCCTTTACATATTCTATATTACATGTAACATATTAATACATTTGTCGTTTTAATACTTTGTAATCTTAGGAATATGAATAAATTTTCGCTTAATTATACACTAGAATTCAGCGTCGTTCTAAATTTCAAACTTTTATCGTCCAACGGTAACGTAAATTATAATGACGCATAAATCTTCCATCTAATGCACGTCAGACGTCATATTCAAGATTAAATTTCGAAAATTACACAACATAGCCTCTGCTCCAGGACGTGTAATCATAATCATCGGGGTAGAAACCGAATTAATAATTAAGAGTCAAGCTTTAATTGATTTTACAAAAATTATTTTATATTAGAACGAGAACGATATATCAAATAGATTTGGCCATTATTCGTAGGTAACTATCCTAAAAAAAAAGAAGAAAAATCGAACAGAGTAACAGACATTTACCGGTTTTAATTTTCTGAGTGGATTCTCACGGGGATCTGAAAGCTGCAGAGCTGGAAATAGACATGGAATTTGGTATGTGGTGACTCGAGCAAGGCTGATACTGCTAAGGAGTTCCCCAGAGTGTTGTTTCCGGTCGTAACGGCTGTGAAAACCTCTACATCATCTCGGGGATGAAGTTACGTAAGGGAGGAAGGAAGAGAAATTATCACTTCTGCTTCTGATAACTAACATGCTCAACCTTATTTTTTAGTCTTTTAGATCAGATAATATATATGACAATTGTTATTGTTATTATCATTTTAATTGTATAATATAATTTTGTTTATTAAACATTCTCTTGAACGTGATAAAATAAAATAGGTAAATTAAAGCATTTAATTTTGGAATTGTGGCGACGTCTAAGCTGTTTTAATTTTAAATTTCGAAATGAAAAAGCACACGTGGACGTTAAATAAGAATAAATGTTTAGTGTGTTGTTTTTTGTGACCTAATTTAGCTTTATGCCACTCAAAGGCGCATCAAATTAATCCCTCGGTAATAATGAAATGTCAAGATGCTCCTGAGTCTTGCTCAACGGGCAAACAATAGTCTTGTTCTGTGGTGTCAAGTGTAAGCAAACGAAAATCCAAATAAAAGCTCATCTTTATTTATTTTATAGTATGTAAGTATAAGGTACGACCACGTCGGTGCTGTTACATCTTTTTTGATGACTTTTTTCGAGAATTTGTTTTTTTTTTTTACATCAAGGAAATTTTTCTAGGTAAAATTACTGGGGTAGTTACTTTACAAAAAAATTTTTTTCTTTTTTTTGCCATCAATGTATTAGAAAAAAAAATTACTACAAAATTTAATTAACTCATAGTAATTGTACATAAAATTTCAAAAAATTTTATTGAGTCTGACATAAAATAAATTAATTTTTGGTCATTTTTATTGAAAAAAAGATATTAGATCAAGAATTGCACAATTTTCCACAATTATCGTGATTTTGATTGAAAATTACTACCCGTCTATGAAACAAAAATAATTATACTATACCGTAAAGATTTTTTTTTTTAATTTTTCGTTAAATTATTTTATTTAAAAAAATTGATACAAATTTGAGGGTTTTACTTATTTTAATGCTTCATTCGGATCTGATAGTGATATTACGATCAAAATAAATGGAGGAATACATCTGGACAATAACCTAAATAAATATTATCAAATGAAAACTAACGGTAGACAGGATGCACTCTAATGTCTATTTAAATTATTTGCGCATTTCTATTTCATATTACGTAATTTAAAATATTTCTCGGAGTTCTAAGATCGCCGGCTGAACCGAATTACCGAGTTATATTTTCGTAACTAGATGTTGATGGTGTAGTTTAAGAATTCAAGTGATCGTTTAATTCAACTATTTATAACTTATGTGATATAAATAAAGTGCAGTGTAATCGACTGTTTTATTATTTAATTTTCATTTTTTTTTTAACCTGATTGCTTTTTTAGTCTCATCACGAATGGGTTAAAAATACCTCTTTTGGATCAATTAACAAGTAATTCAGTTACATTCAAAATTTATCAATTCTGAGTTGAAAAATGATACGATTTCAAAAGTAGTACCTTAAGGAGAAAATTTATCCTTAAGAGGATCGATAAAGATGTTAATGTTTTTTTTTTTACGATTATGGACTAAGGCTTTTCAGAAAAATTGCAGTTTTAAATATTAGTTTCATTGGAAATATGAAACTTTCGGTTGTTAGAAAAAGAGGTTAACGAGCTCTTTAGATTCTTTTTGCATTGAGTTATGATCATTTTAATGAGCTGTACTTTTTGCAAAGTCATATCAGAAAAATGGAAATAAATTTAAGAAAAAATTCGAGGTGGAAAATCGCTTCTTGTCAATTTTTTTCTGCGTGATTCGTCATTACCAAATTAGTTTTAAATATTAATTTTGCAAAAAGATTAGTTTATTTTGTACGCTAAGAAAAACGACTACTCTTACGAACTTTTTTTAAAATTTTCATTTTAGATATTTATACAAAAGTTTTCAGGCTTAACAAAAACATTCTCGAAAAAGGTGAAATAAAAACTAAAATTATCATCAAAGATAACTTGTAAGAAAAGTACATAGCATTACATTCAGTGTGACAGTGAGTTCGTCCTGAACTACAATTATAAATGTTTATTTATGATTAACAAAATAGCGAAATTTTTTCAAAAAAAAAAAAGTAATTTTTGCAATAAAAATTAACATTTTAAGATGCTTAAAATTCATGGCGAATTCATACGCACATTAGGAATACGCGACTGATATTTCAAAAAGATCAGACTAGTAGTTTCTGAGATTTAGCTTTCATTAAACCAAAAAACATTAAATACATTTAGAATGCTCAGATTATTTTAGAATTTTCATAGAATATTTTTGAACACATTTATTTTCGAAAAGTTAAAAAAAAAATTCGATTTATTAATATACGGAAAAAAGTAAACTGTAATATTCACTCGGATTCCGGTTAGTTTTTATAGTTTCAAACAGTAAAGCGGACATCGGGGTGGCAAAAATATAAATATTACAGAACTTAATGTAGAAAGTATAAAAGCCACAATTTATAATTTAATATTCAAAATAAGTGATTAGTTTCTGTCACTATAGTAAATAACGACTCTTTCATCTTAAAAAATTACAGTTTCAAACAGTAAAAATTGCCATTTCAATAAATTGTTCATATTATGAGGAGAAGGGGAACTCAGATGAGAGAGAAGGGGGTCTCACTCTGGGAGAATTTAACATTTGAAACAGTAAAAATTATACTTTTAAAATATACATTTTACCAGTCTAAGCAAGTCAATAATTACAGTTTGATTTTTAGCGTTGCGTTTAAAATTTACCATTTTGCTTTGTAAATATTGACGTTGCTTATATTAGAAATTTACTAACTTTATTTTATACTTTTTACACATCATAAGATCATTTTTTAGGTACGAAATGATAAATATCAAAGTCTGAGTTCTTAATTATTATACTTTAAGATTTTAGACATTTACATAGCGAATATTACTGTTTGAAATAGTATTTTCTTCCATGTAAAGTGAATAAAGTGAATAGTAAAATCACGATTTTACCGTTTGAAATGGTAATTTTTAGCAGTTGATCATTACTTATTATAAATCGACTGTTATTTATTACAGTTTAATTTTTTCCGTGTAGTGACAAAGTGGACTAATCCTATAATCAAATTATTCAAATACGAAAAATTTTCATTGAACATATTATTTTTTTTACTATCCCCAATAGATGATAATAAATTAAATTAAATAAAAAAATTAACATTACCCGTTCTGAAATTAACAACAATATCTATAAGAAATATTGTATCCGAAAGGCAGTTGAAGGCTATCCATCGGGTGCTTAGATCATCGTTGAAAAAACTAATGGCAACTGGTAGAATTATCAGATTGGCTACTAGTAACAGCAGCATACATAGATCCCAATAAAACCTGTAATAAGAAAACAAATAAATACAAACACAAAAATAAATAACAATTCATAAATATTAATTTATGGTTATAGTTATTTAACACTGTACCTTTGTATGTACGTATGCAATATTTTTAGTGTATATAAGGGGCAGCCAGTTGTATACAACAGGTGGGTATTGTAGCTTTTTTGCTCGAAATTTTTTATTTTTTGGTCACGGTAAAAAAGTACACGAAAAAATACTTAATAATGATTGAAATAGTTGAAGATAAAAAGTAAAAGCGAGAAATATTTTATTTTACTCTCTAATTGCTTTGATTCAAGCACAATTCATGATACAAAAAAAATAGTATACACAAAAAAAAATATAAATAGAAAAAAAATTGGAAAAAAGTGGTCTCGCGCGAGAACTAGATTTCTACCGAATGAAAATTCTCTTGTGACAATACTAGCCACATGATAGATTTTTTGTTAATCCTCAATCGAGTACTGGGTTTACAAATGAATAAATAATTTCATCTCTAACGAATAGATAATTGGACAGTCAAAATTAAAGTAAAAAGATTCAAGAGAAAAAAATTTTTGATTGAATAGGCGGCTATTGAAAATGAATTAAAAATATATTTTTGCATAAGTTAAATATTTAATGTTACTTAAAAAATTTTTCATAATAAAAAATTGGAAGATTTTTTTTACTTTACCATCAGACAATTTATCATTTAAATGGTTAAATTTGTATCTACATTACAATCAGTGGGATTACACTGAAAAAAAAAGAATTTTCAAGAAAAATATACTCTTTAAAATTTCATTCTTGTTTTGAGATATTATTAAGTTATTTCAATTTAAAAAATTCACTCTTAGATCAAAAATATAAAACTGTTACATATGAAGACAAAAAATTTTTCATTTAAGAATTGTAGTCTTAAACGAAAGACTTAACTACTTTTAAATATGATAACCTGTATTTAACTAAAAAAATTTCTTGCTCTTGAATTAAAATAGGTAATAAAATTGATTCAAGTTATTACCGACTTGTTTCAAAAATTCCAAAAATGCTCGGATTTCTATTTTCTATATCTTCAAAAATAAGTCAAATACGTATCAGAATGGGTTGAAATGAAGAAAAATTTTAATCTTAAGTTTTTTTTTGGTATTTTAGATGATGAGCCTTTTTCTTAAACCAAAAAGTTCGAATTCTTCTAGAAAACGAAAGTATTAACTTCCCGCTTTAATAATTAATAATTCTCAATAGTAGAAAGTTATAGAGTTTTTATCAGATTGGAAGATTTTCGAGTTCAAGAAAAGTGGGAAGGTACAGGGATGTCGTGCAGGCCAACCATTTTCCGATTTTTATTAATTGAAGAAAATTATGTTTTTCAGTCAAGAATTTAATTGTATCTTACAAAAATGATCTAACTTTGATCAAAGCTATGAAGTTTCTCTCTACTAAGAAAACAAGAAAACGAGTTTTATTAAGACAAGAAATTATTGAATCAAGACGTAAAAAAATCATCTTTAAAAAATTCTGAGGCTTCAAAAATTCAAATAAGCATTTAAAAATGCACTATACATTCACGTTAAAAACTATTGATGGATCGACTGTCTAGTTACTGAAGATAGAAAACTAATCTTTAACCATGATCTCGTACCGCAGAGATTTAAGATTGATAGAACCAACGTTAAATACCCAAAAAAAAATATTGAGAAGTGGAACATGTATAAAGCGATGTAATTTATTGAGGAAGTTTTGTTACGTAAAAATTTTGAAAAAATGCACATCTCAAAGCATTCACTAAATTTTTGGTAAAAATTTTATTTAAAAAAAAAAAAATTGAAAATGATTTGTTACATTTTGAAAATTTCATTATTCCTAGAAAATGTTTTGATGTAATGTATAATTTCAGGCTTGGCCGCGTTTAATGATCTATAGATCACCTAGATCATCGAGAGGGCCTGTTGCTTAGATCTCTTTGAAAAATTAACTTGATGAAGGGTTTTCGTAAATGAGCCATAAAAATTCGTTAATTAAACATTTATATATTAGAGTGGTCCAAAAAAAAAAAGTCTTTTGTCTATAATCTCAAAAGCTTCTCTAAGGCATAAAAAAAATTCCCTCCAAAGCGCAGCTTGATACCTCTATTTTCCATAAAGCTCGATGAATTTCTATTTTCCCATTTAAATTTAAGTAAAAAAATTTGTTTTACGTTTTTATCCGGTAAAACTACGAAAAGAATTTTTTTCTGAATTTTCCATCAATTATTCTTATAAGAAATTATATCTCTACAAAAAAGTACTGAGGTAGTTTTTTCGCCATCCTAACGGGTATGAACTTTATTCATCACCAACGAAGTAGTAATAATTTCAAGAATTGTCAAAGTCATAAAAGTAATTGTTTTAAATTTTAATATTTTTCAATTTAACAAGAACGTAACAGAATTGTTTTTTGTTTTTTCGTAACAATAACAATAAGTGATATCCACCAAAGCAATTAGATGAACATGAGCCAATGATGATTAAGAAAAGTATGAATTAAGACAAATTGACTGATAGCTGAAGAGAATTAATGTCATAATAATACAAATGTTTGACACAAACTGTGTGCAGAGTATTCCGGCATTTACGTCGCTCGTATAGAATAGAACCGAAAGACGGATTCTGTGGAAATGTAATTCTTTAATAGGATTATGTTCGTGCTCGTTCGTTGGGAGATACTGCGAAAATTTACCAGTTTGCTTATTCAGTGTCTACAAAACAACTCGCAAAGCGAATCACGGATGCACTGAAAATTTCAATGCTTTCATGTTACATTTTTATTAAAAAAAATTATAATTTGCTTTTGCTTTTTTCATTACATTGTTCAATACGCCTTTTATTAGTTTCCAACTATAAAGACTTTAGAAAAGAAAAATCCATTGAAATTTTGAATTCAATAAATTTTAAAACGTGGATAGAATTAAATTTAAAACAATAGAAATAGTTCAACGTAAATCTCACTTAAATTTAAATGTTCTTAAATCTGAAAATAACAGATTCTTAACAATAAAAGATAAAGAGCAAAAAAAGAACGAGCATTTAAGTCATTGATTCCTTTTCTAATATTAGAAACATCATTTCCGCGTTCTCGTGCGGTCATTTCTGATTTTACATGATGCAGTTAAGTTAAGTTAAGTTAACTTTGGTGCAATTCCAGCGCTATATTGTTGGTTCTATTTGGTTAACATATATACATATACATTTATGTGCATACAGTTATAATGAGATATATTTTACGTGGGCGAGTATTGATTATAACGTCAGTTAGGAGGAATGATGTGGACGACGAATCTCAACGGGAAAGTTGCTAACGCGGTGCAACTTGACTCGATCGATTCGCGTGGCATTCAAGTCGCGTATCATGTAAGGACGAATGTACCCGCCGAACATTTTAGTACTATATGTATGTGTTATATGTGTTGCGACTAGAAGCTGATGATAGGAATATAGTTTATGTATATGTGGATAGATGAAGATGAATATATATGGAGATCAAGAATAAGGTATGATTTGAAGCGAAACGAGCAAAACCTACTAGTACTAGTCGACAATAAAGTATAAGCATGAAACCGTGTTTACATACTAAACAATAACATGGGGTCGATCTATTGTCTGTTCGAGGATGCTGACATAATCAGGAGTACGTTATAATCTATTTAATGGACCTCTCATATATGATCACAATTGATGAACCGGCCTATTATTTATTAATATTTTTTATTTTAAATAATGATAATAAATATTAAATTTTTATGATTGTTATTTTAACGAAAAATTTTTTTCTGTTTACTTCGTTATATTAATTTTTATTAATTATAATTCATTTTGATATAACGTTGACAGAAAAATTATTTTTAAGAAATTAATCGTCATAGATAAAATAATAAAATTTCTTGAAACAAATTTTATTTTAATCAAGGCGATTCCCGTAGTGTATGCATTTTTTGCTCGATTCAAGACGATCAAATTCTTTAAAATGATGTTTTTAATTTAAGAATTTTTTTTTCGTATTTGTGATGAACATGAAATTGATAAGTTCCGTGAAAAAAATTTTTGATACGTCCTTGTAAGTCTTGATATGCACATATCGAGGGTACTCTGACGTAACCTCGTAACTCGATTTTTTGAGGGTTACGATTTATATATATTTAATTTTTTTTCTGAAACGTAATTGGCGTATATATCGATGAGAAAGTACTAAAACTTTGAAATTAGCGATAAACGTTTACGATTTTATAATTTGATTTTCTTGAAAAAAGTTTTTTGTTTTTCCGTAAAGTAGTGTTTTTTTTGAGATACGAGATTACGTCAGAGTACCCTCGATATATTGCCTGATACACTGAGAGAAAAAAAAATGAATCATTTAAATTTATTAATTTTTTGACAAAAAAATGTCAATATCTGCCTTCGTTATAAAATATTTACCTTTTAATGAAATAGGTAAACAAACACACACTGAAAAAAAAAATTTTTTTAATTGACCGCATTCACTGAAAAAAAAGTTTTTTTCCTCCTAGAAAACTTTTCCCTGTGGTTAAAAAAAATGTATTCCTAAAATAAGAATACCAAAGTTTACTATCCATAGGAATAAGTTTACTGGATATAAAAAAACTTGGTATTCTCATTATTATTAAAATACTACAATCAATATGGCCGACTTAACCTCGCTTGGTCGACACGAATCTTTAGGATAGATAATTATGAGAAACTATACTTTTTATAATTCTTCATTTATAAACAATCTATCACACTAAAATTAATAAAAATGGAAAATAGTATATTAAGCCTTTCTTTTCTTATTTTTAATTCTTATTTGTTGTCAAAAAATTGCAATTTCTTGCTAATAGCATTATTTTACTAATTTACTAATAACATTACTAAGGTAAAAGACCTAGTTATTGACACTTGCAATTTTATTTTAATTAAAAAAAATAAATCAACTCTGATAATTTAATAAACATTATATTTGAATTATAAATTTTAAAATAAT